TGCAGTCAATTTTCAGTAACTCAGATGGCTCAAAGTTCCTTGCAGCTCCCAACACATTCTAACATAGCCTCATCTCACATAGGGCACCACTTGTCCTGGATACCTCTGACCTCCAAGGCAGTGCTTTCTTAACCTCTCCAGGTATGTCACCTTTAACAGCTGTACCCCACAAATATTCCAAAATCAAGTATTTTTTGAGACAGGATGTCATGTATCTCAGGCTAACCTCCAACTAAATATATTAGAGCTGAGGATGGATTTGAACTCATTTTCCAGCCTCTTCCTCCTCCTGAGGGCTAGGATGAAAGGTGAACACCAGCAATGTCAGCTGTATGCATTGCTGGAGTTGTACCTAGAGCTTTGTGCATGCTAGGCAACTGCTCTTTCAAATGAATCACATGGGTGGGGGTGGGGGGTAAAGGTGTGTTTATTTATTGTGTCTGTGTAGATATATGTGCAGGTGTGTGCATACACAGAAGCCTGTACATGTTTGCACTAAGAGACCAGAAGACGGTGAAGTAGTCACAGGGTCCTCTTCATCACTCTTCACCTGTTCTCCTGAACCAGGGTCTCTTCCTGAACCTCTTGCTCAACTGAAGGCCACAAACTCCAACAATCCTTCTGCCTCTGCACACCACACCCAGAGCTGGGGTTATTTTTGAGGAGTACCCAGCTTATTACACAGTACATCTAAACTCCAGTCCTCATGATTTTGGAGCAAGTGCTCTTAACTGCACATCCATCTCTTCAGCCTTTTTTTTTTTTAACTATGTTTGGTTTTTATTTATTTATTTGTTTGTTTGTTTATTTATTTATTTTGAGACAGGGTCTCACTCTGTAGCCCAGGCTGGCCTTAAACCATGGCAATCTTGCCTTGGCCTCTCAAGTGCTTGGAGCCACCATGCTTGTGTTCTAAAGTGGGTTTGCTGTTTGTTTGGTGTTTTTTGGTGGTGGTAGTAGTGTTTATTTTTGTTTGTTTTGGTTTGGTTTTTGGTTGGTTGGTTGGTTGTTTAAAAATAAATTTAAAAAACTTGAAACATTTTGATTAATGATACCCAACTGGTATTGATTTTCTCTTTACATAAAATATTTTTTGTTGAGCCAGGAGTGGTGACAATACTATTAATCCTAACATTTAGAGGTAGAGCCAAGAGAGCTCTATGAGTTGGAAGAAGCCTGGTCTACAGAGTGAGTTTCAGTCTACCCACGGCTATATAGTGAGTCAGTCCCCCCTTCTCCCATCTCTAATTAATTGTGTGTAGGCATCTACCCACTAAATGGCAACCATATCCCCATCTCTAAGACAACCCAAAATAGTCACACAGGCTGGGGTTGTAGCTCAGTAGTAGACCAATTACCTAACATGCACAAGGCTCTGGGTTCCATCCCCAGCACTGATAAAAACAAAACACTGTTATTCCAAAGTCGTCGTCCCCACCCCCACCCCCGACACCATGCCTTGGCTCAAAACTCTTGAAGCTGTTAATTTCTATTTACCTATACAGCCCAGCCTTTTTGGATCCCTGGAGAAAACAGTCCCCCATTGTACACAGAAGCTCCCTGGAGATCCATACTTGAAAGTATGCATGAGAATGGCCCCATAGGATTACATGTTTTAATACTTTGTCTCAAGTCGATGGCATGGTTTGGGCAGTTTGGGAGGTGTTGCCTTTTAGAGGAGTATGTCACTGAGGGCAGGCTTTAAGGTTTCAAAACTCCTACCATTCATTCCCAATGTGCTCTTTCTGCCTACTGTTTATGGATCAGAATATGAGCTCTCAGCTGTTCCTGCCACTATGCCTTTGCTCTGCTATCATGGACTCACACCCTCTGGAACTATAAGTTGAATTAAACACTTACTTTTAGAAATTGACTTGGTCACAGTGTTTTGTCACAGCATTAGAAAAGTAACTAAGGTTTATTTGGAGCTTATGGTTCCAGAGGCATAAGAGCCCATCACCATCAGAATGGGGAATCATAGGAGCAGGAAGACATGGTGACTGGACTTGGAATCTCAAACCATAAGCAGGAAGCAAAGAGATATACTTCTTTTTTTTTTTTTTTTTTTGTTTTTTGAGACAGGGTTTTTCTGTGTAGCTTTGCGCCTTTCCTGGAACTCGCTTTGGAGACCAGGCTGGCCTCGAACTCACAGAGATCTGCCTGCCTCTGCCTCCCGAGTGCTGGGATCAAAGGCGTGCGCCACCACCGCCCGGCAAGACATACTTCTTTCAGCAAGGTCACACCTCCAAACTTCCTGAACAGTGCTACCACCATCAGAGTGGTGACCAAGTATTCAAATACCTGAGACTGTGGAAGGGAATCTCTCTCATTCAAATCACCACACCTTCTTTGGCCTCCCACCTCAAAATGTCCTTCTTCCCCCAGCCTTTTCTTCACTGTGACAAAATACCTGACACAGATAACTTAACAGGGGAAGGGTTGATTCATGGTTTCAGCAGTAGCCATCGCTTTGGACCTGAGGAAGATCAGCATATCATAGTGTTGAGAGCTTGTGATGGAGGCTGCTCATACTGTGATGGTCAGGAAGGAGAGAAAGCAAGACAAAGGAACTGGGAGTTCCATTGGTTAAGTGCTTGCTGAGCATGCACAAAGCCCTGAGTTGCATCCCCAGAACTGCACACAACATGTGCGGTTGTGCACTCTTGTTATCTCAACACTTGAGGTAGAGGCAGGAAGATCTGAAGCTCCTACCAGCCTAGTCTACAGGTGTGAGGGCTCATTTGAATGAAGGAAAGGAGGAAAGAGGGAGAGGATGAATGAATAGAGGTGAGTTTAGCCAGGACCACATCTCAAAGGGCTGAATGTCAAAGCAAAGGATTCAGCCTTCATTGTTCAGGCTGTGAAATTGAGACATGGCTGTAGCTGATGATCTGTATTACAGATAGATAGATAGATAGATAGATAGATAGATAGATAGATAGATAGATAGATATTATAGATATATATTTGAAAATTGTAATTACACTGATTGATTGACTGAGTGACTGGGAGAGTATGTACATGCTATAGTACACGTGTGGAGGCCAGAGAACCAAGAGTTGGTCCTCTCCTTCCACCATGTAAGTCCCAGGGATTGAATTCAGGTCATCAGGCTTAGTAGCAAGCACCTTTCCCCACTGAGCAATACTGATAGCCTTTTTTAGAAGCAGGGTCTGAACATATATCCCCTGCTCGCCTGAATTGCATGGAAGTCCTCCCAACTCTGCCTCCTAATTGCTGAGATTACCAGTATGTCACCATGCCTGTCTTGTACCATACTTCAGAAAGATCCCTCAAGGAACGGAGAATATAACTCAGCTACAAGAGTTCTTGCCTACATGCTCAAAGTCCTGGGTTTGATCTCTAGCATTTCATAACTTGGGCTTGATGACACACTGAGGGGGGCCTCTGCAGGTGTCAGGGAGAGAAGCAAACCTCAAAGAGATGAGAGTGAAAACTCTGTTCTGATTGACTTCATCAACCTGGATCAAGACTTCTAAAGAGTCTGATGACAGGCAGTTCATCATCAGCATATTTAAAATACAGTACAATTTGGAAAAAAGTTTTCTGGTGTAATACAATCCCTGTTGCACAAGGAAGTGTAATTACAGTGAAACTCAACTCAGGGTACATGTCATTTCTTCCAAGAGGATGCGTTCTAGAGATAGGCTACCTATACTAGCTTAAGGGCTTAGGAAAGGCTCTGGCTTGGTCTCGATCATACAGATAGCACAGACCATTTGGACTATTAAGTCGCCTCTGGTCCTGGTTGTGGGAGCTTGGGGGAGCCCATGGCTGTAAGGGTCATTTAAATTGCTAGGCACCTCTGGTCCTGGTTGTAGGAGCTTGATGAGGCCTGATCCAACACAGATCACCAGGCTATTAATCACTTCCCAGCTTTCTGGAATGGAAGAACAGGTATTTCATCTTTGCCATTGGAAAGATAATCATGTGTGTTTAATATTCCTGGTCTTTCTGGAGATCTGTGGGCACAAGGACTTTAATGCTATGCTCCTAACAGCACACACCAGGGAGCCTGAAATAGCCTTATCTACCTCCTGGGTGTTCTCAATAGGTGAGGAAGAAACAGGGTTGTCATCTTTTTTGTTTGTTTGTTTGTTTCTGTGATCAAATATTATGACAAAAATAACTTTAATGGACAAAGAGCTTCATTGACTCACAGTTCCAGGCTACAGTCCATCGTTGTGGGAAAGTGAAGGCAGAGACCTGAAGCAGGTAGTTAGAGTACATCTATAGTCAAGAGCAGAGACAGCCGATGTGGTGGAGGCACACACCTTCAATCCCAGCACTCTGGAGGCAGAAGTAGGCTGATCTCTATCAGTTAAAGGCTAGCCTAGTTTACATAATGAATTCTAGGCTACCCAGAGCTACATAGTAAAAACATGTAGATAGAGAAAGAGAGAGAGAGGAGAAAGCGAGAGAATCAATGATTACTTGTACCTAACCTTCTCTCTACAAGGACTGGTATAATGCTAACCTAGACTCCGCCCATGAAGGGCTGGGGTGTGAACAGGTCTTCTTACTTTTACTAATGTAATCAGGACAATCTCCAACAGACATGCCTCAGGCCAAACTGACCTAGACAGTCCCTCATTGAGACTCTTAACAGGTGTTTCTAAATTGTGTCAAGTTGACAATTAAAACTAGCCATTCAGGTGGATCTCTGTGAGTTTAGCCCAGCCTGGCCTACAGAATGAGTTCCAGGACAGCTAAAGCTATACAGAGAAATGCTGTCTTAAAACAACAACAAAAGCCTAGCCATTACTGGGGTATCTGAGGAAGGACAATTTAGAAGCTGTAGTGGAGGTAAACTAGATGCCCTGACCATGCTCCCCTGAAAGGGCTCACCCTCCATTCCTCCACTCCCATCTGCAGGGCAGCAAGGAGCGCTTTCACTGGCAGAGTCACAATGTGAAGCAGAGCGGTGTGGATGACATGGTTCTGCTGCCCCAGATCACTGAGGACGCCATTGTGAACAACCTCCGAAAGCGCTTCATGGATGACTACATCTTCGTATCCCAAGCAGTGCAAGGGCACGGGAGGATGACTGGGCAATAGAAGTCATTGTTAGGATGATGCACTGGGACAGAGAAGAATGCCAAGGGGATGGCAGTGCAGAGGGGCCTATGAAAGCCCAGCCCAGGGCTGGAGGGGAGGATGAATGAATGGAGGAAGGATGGGCAGATTGAAGAATAGATCAAGTAACAATAGTGCTGTGGTTTGAGATGCTGTAGCTGCCACTGCACCTCTGTATTTCCCTCTTTCTGGATCCAGCCTTCTTTTCCTAAGAGACTCACGGTACATTCAAGTATCTCACCTCTCTCTCTAAGCAAGAGGTTCTGGGAAGTCTTGTTGGGATAGAATAAGGGGTAAGAAAGGCAAAGCAAGACACTGCATGGTTCTTAACTACCTCTCAAGACATATATTGGCTCAGTGCTTATCTCTGTAAACCCCTTTAAGCAGATGCCCTACTTCACTGACCGAGAAATTGACCTCTACCAGGGCGCGGTGAGATCAGGGTTGGATGGGTAGAAATATGCCCACACCTACCCTCTGAGGCCTCCAGCTCTGTACTGACACCTGACCTCCTCCACCAGGCTCAATATGAGAATCCCCCGCACATCTATGCCCTCACCGACAACATGTACCGGAATATGCTGATCGACTGTGAGAACCAGTGTGTCATTATCAGGTGATCATGTAGTAGGGTGAGGGATTCTGGAACATTCTGTCCAGGCATATCCTCAAACACCACCACCAAGGGTGATTTGTCATGAACTCATAAATCATGCCATGATGTCCCTTTATCCCTATTGCTCTGTTCTACTTTCTTTATTTCCCTTGGCTCCTGATACAGTGTGTCTATTCATTTTATTATCGCCTATTGTTTCCTCCTAAATATTAGCTCCAGGACTGAAGAGATGGCTCAGCAGGTAAGAGTGTTTGCTGCTCAAGGGTGAGACCCTGAGGCCAAACTCCCAGAATTTACACAAAAAGTCAGACTTAGACACACACACCTATAACTCCAGCATTGGGAGAGGCTGAAACAGACAGGTTTCTGGGGTTTGCAGGCCACAAGCCTTACTCCAGATTCAGTGAGAGAGCCTGTCTCAAGGGAATAAGACAGGGAATGATGGAGCAGAACACCAGATGTCCTCCAACCTATGCATATAGGCACATGAATACATAAACACATGCACATATACCACAAACACATATACCATGCTCATAATACATACACACACATAAAATAAATAAATGTGGGGGTATGAATTTTTAAATTACATTTTATTCATTATTTTGTGTGTATGTGTATAGATCCATGCATGTCGAGGTATGCATGTAGAAGTCAGAAGACAACTTCCAAGAGCCAATTCTCTCCTTCCACCATATGAGGGACTGAACTCAGGTCTTCAGGCTTGGCAATGGGTGCTGAGCCATCTTTCCAGCCCAAGGAATTTTTACATTATATCTACTTATTTATTTATATTCATTGGGGCTGCCACATGCCACAATGCAAGTGTGAAGATCAGAGGAGAACTTTCAGGAATCAGGTCTTTTCCATGAAACTCAGCTTGGCAGCCAAGTGCCTCTACCCCCTGAGCCACCTCACCAGCCCCTTCTTTTTTGGGGGAGGGAAAAGGTATTTTTTATTTTTAAAAAATTACTATTTTTATGTTAAATATGTGCATGATTTGCTTGCATGCATATCTGTGCACCACATTCATGCCTGTTGCTCTCAGAGGCCAGAAGAGGGTGTTCAATCACTTGAAACCTGAGTTACAGATGGTTATTACCACTGTGTGGGTTCTGGGAAGCAAAGACATGTTGTCTGCAAGAGAAATAAGTGCTCTTATCCCTAACCCATCTTTCCAGACCCTGGGGCAGGGATTTTTTTTTTAATCTTTCTTATTCACTGTTTAATCTCTAAAGCCTAGAGTAGGGTCTGTGGGTGCTCAGTAAAAGAATGAATACATGAATTAATGAATGACTAGGCATTTGAAAAAGTCCTTTCCACTATCCCTGCCCACTAACTATTCCTTCATCCTACCACCTCCAGTGGGGAAAGCGGAGCTGGGAAAACAGTGGCTGCTAAGTACATCATGGGCTACATCTCCAAGGTGTCTGGCGGGGGTGAAAAAGTCCAGGTAAGACAAGAATAGAAGGACATGTCAGGTCTCCCTCAGTTACACCCATCTGACCCAGACTGATCTCTTTCTACCTGGGCTCTACCCCTAGCACGTCAAAGACATAATCCTACAGTCAAACCCACTGCTTGAGGCCTTCGGCAATGCCAAGACGGTGCGCAACAACAATTCCAGCCGCTTTGTGAGTCATTATAACCTTGCTTGAGCTCTCACTCTCTCTACATACACAGGCATACAAAAATACAGACAAGCAAACACACATGCACGCAGACAATGCACACACCCAAGTACACATATACATGTGCACAAACATACATGCACACACACACACACTTGTGTGGGAAGTACTTTACTCACTGAGCCATCTCCCTAGGACCCATGTTTCTTTTTGTGTGTGGGTGCATGCTTGTGTAGGTGCACATGTAGTATGTGCACATGCACATGAATGCCAGAGGTTGATGTTGGGTGTCTTCTTCAATAGTTCGCCACCTTACTATTCTTTTTTATTTTGTTAGTATTTATTTTGTATGTATGAGTGTTTTGAACGTATGTCTGTGCACCACATGAGTGTATGATGCTCTTGGGGGCCAGAAGAAAGCATTGAAACCCCTGGAACTGGAGTAACAAGACAGTTGTGAGCAGACATGTGGGTACTGGGTATAGAACCCAAGTCCTTGGGGCTGGAGAGATGGCTCAGCAATTAAGAGCACTGGTTGTTCTTCCAGAGGACCTGGGTTCAATTCCTAACACCCACATGGCAGCTCACAGCTGTCTGTAACTTCCCTTCCAGGGGATCTGATGTCCTCATACAGACATACCTGCAGGCAAGACACCAATGTACATAAAATAAAAATGAATAATTTAAAAAAAAAAAGAACCCAGGTCTCCTGAAAGAGAAGTCAGTGCTCTCAATTCCTGAACTACAGCTACAGTCTTCCCTCTGTCTTATTTTTTGAGACAAGGTCTCTCACTGAATGTGGAGCCACCCAAACAAGATCTGAGTTTAATCCCCAGCACCCATGTAAAAGCTGGATATGCTGGCACACACTTGTAATTCTCACACTAGGAGGCAGACAGGAGGATCCAGAGGACACTGGCCATCTGGTCTAGCCAAATAAGTGAGCTCTAGATTCAATGAGAGACCTTGTTTCAAGAAATAAAGTAGAAGGGCTGGAGTAATAGCATTGAAGAGTGTAAAAAGCAGAGTTCAGATCCCCAGCACATGAGAAGTGGAGGCAGGGGATTTCTGGAGCAAATGGTTAGCTAAAACTAGTCAAATCAGCAAGCTCTGGGTTCAAGAGTTCTTTCCTCGATGTATAAGGTGGCAGCAGTTGAAAAAGATGCCCAATGTTAACCACCTCTGGCCTTCACCTACACAATCATGCACACACCCATGTATTCACACACAAAAGAGACACAGAAACCTCAAATGTGGTGGGGAGACTTGAGGTAAGCACAGAGCTGAGTGCAATTAACAGGGTTTTAGAGAACCACGGGAGATGGATGGTTTAAGGATGCCTGGCTCCACACAGTCTGAGCAGTCTAGAGGAAAGACACTGGAGTAAAGAGTAAGCTTAGTCAGTAAGTGAGGGGCAATCAGCAAGTTCAGCAGATGCTTGCCACCACCAAGTCTGAGGACCTAAGTTCAATCCTCAGAACATACATGGTAAAGAACCAGCTCCCACAAATTGTCCTCAGACTATCATGTATCCACCATGGCAACACACACACACACACACACACACACACACACACACACATATAAAAAATAAGTGACTGGAGACAAGAGAAATGCAAGTTTAGGTCACAAGAGGAAGAGGGGAAGAGGTCAGGCTCATGAGATGGTAATCCTTGCTCCATCTATACTCCTGGGACTCTGGGATGGGCTAATGTGGTTCTCTGGGATTCAGGGCAAGTACTTTGAGATCCAGTTTAGCCGAGGCGGGGAACCAGATGGAGGCAAGATCTCCAACTTCCTACTGGAGAAGTCTCGCGTGGTCATGCAGAATGAGAACGAGAGGAATTTCCACATCTACTACCAGGTGCATGGGAGGGGGTTGTGGGGCTAGAGGCAGAGGGAGACCCCTCTGGATCCCAGGAATGGAGGAAAGAGAACATGGAAAGGGCGGTGTGTGGGAGGGTGAGGCAACCACAATGGTTGCACCAGGCCATCTTCAGATGCATGACCTTCCGACACCCTCCAGCTTCTGGAAGGGGCCTCCCAGGAGCAGCAGCAGAACCTAGGACTCATGACACCAGACTACTATTACTACCTCAATCAATCAGACACCTACAAGGTAGAAGGCACTGATGACCGGAGTGACTTCAATGAGACCCTGGTAAGCACCAACCACCACTCTGGCTGCCCCAGAGAACCTTTTCATGTTACAAATAAGGAAACTGAGACACAGAAAGGTGCAGGCACTTATCCAAAGTTATACAGCAACTAGATAAAAAGGGCAGATCACAAAGCCAAGGAGAGGACTCAGTGGGTAAAGTGCTTGCTGTACAAGCATAAGGACCTGAGTGTGATCCCCAGAACCCACATGAAAACAAGGTGGGTATGGCAGCACATGCTTATATTCCAGCACTGGGGCTGCAGAGACAGGCAGATCCCCAGGGTTTGCTGGCCATCTGGTCTGGTCAAATCAGTGAGCTTCAGGACTAGTAAGAAACTCTGTCTCAAAACTAACATGAAGATCTGGGGAGAAGGTTCAGAAGGTAAGAGCATTTGGAAGGCAAGCCCAATGAGCTGAGTTTGGATTTCCTGAACCCACAAAAAAGCTGGATTACAAGCGTATGTAACCCCAGTGCTTCTGTGGAGAACGGAAGGGTGAGATAGGAGAATGTCCAGCAGCTCATGAGCCAGCTAGCCTAGCTTATGCAGCAGCAATGACAATCTGTCTCAAACTGAGTGGAAAAATGAGGAATGGACAACTACAGATTGTCCTCTGACCTCCAGACATGCTGTGGCACACATATGAATTCACACACACACACACACACACACACACACACTCTTTAAACTTGGAGAACAATAGAGGAATACACCCAATGTAAACCTCTAGCCTCTGTGTGCACTTGCATTTACACATACATATGCATCCATACACATGCACACATGCACAAACACATACACACACATACACCACAAACACACAAGGCAAATCAGGTGGTTGGGGAGATGTTTCAATTAGTAAAGTATTTGCCATGAAAGTTCAATCCCCAGTACTCAATGAGAAAATTAAAACGGGCTGGAGAGATGGCTCAGAGGTTAAGAGCACTGTCTATTCTTCCAGAGTCCTGAGTTCAATTCCCAGCAACCACATGGTGACTCACAGCCATCTATAATGAGATCTGGTGCCCTTTTCTGGCCTTCAAGCGAAACACTGTATACATAGTAAATAAATAAATTTTTAAAAAAGAAAGAAAGGAAGGAAGGGAGGGAGAGAGAGAGAGAATTAAAATGCCAAGCATGATGGCAACAGCTTGTAACCCCAGTGCTATCAAGGCAAAAGTCAAGATTACTGGGGCTCACCAGCCAGCCTCAGCTATTTGTCAAGTTCCAGTCCAATGAGAAAAACAAGATAGATGGTACCTGAGGAATGACACCCAAGGTTGACCTCTGGCCTCCACACACATACATGAACACACATGCTGAGCAACACACAAAGCAAAATCAGGCATCCAAATGTCTTGTCTCCCTAAGTCCATGCTGTGAGCCCAGGAGTCTAATTCTGAGGTCAGGGTGGAAACCAAAGTTGGTGGCATAAGCTGTCCCTGTTGTGCCCACAGAATGCCATGCAAGTCATTGGAATTCCGACTAGTGTGCAGCAGCTTGTCTTGCAGCTCGTGGCAGGGATCTTGCACCTGGGGAACATCAGCTTCTGTGAAGAAGGGAACTATGCACGGGTGGAGAGTGCAGACCGTGAGTGTGGGTGCTATGGAGAGTTGGGTGTCGGCCTCATGCATCAGGACTGCTCTTCTTCCCGCTTCCGATCTCAAGAGAACCATGTTAGTGTCACTGGGGACGTTCTTATGCCCTTAGAGCCTGACCAGCTGTTTCCTTTTGCTCTGGCCTGGCAGTCTTGGCATTCCCAGCCTACCTGCTGGGCATAGACAGTGGGCGGCTGCAAGAGAAGCTGACCAGTCGTAAGATGGACAGCAAATGGGGTGGACGAAGTGAGTCCATTGATGTGACCCTCAATGTGGAACAGGCAACCTACACTCGTGATGCACTGGCCAAGGGACTCTATGCCCGCCTCTTCGACTTCCTGGTGGAGGTGAGTGGGACTAGTGCTGGAAATTCTTTTGGATGCCTGGTGTTTAACAAGCCCATGGCATTTGGACAGACAAGTGGGAAGACAGGCTTGACTTGTCCATCTCACCAATTCCTGAGGAAGTGAAGTGCAACTTTCAGCTCGGACAAACTGCAAATGGAGGGACTGTTGAAGCCCTCCAGGTCCCATCACCATGATGGTGATAGAGAGGGGTGGGTATGTTTGAGAGCTAAGAAGGTTGTCAAGGACACAAAGTGGTTGGGTGAGGTGAGTGGAAGGGAACATTACATGTCAGGGCCAGTGATGATCACAGTACTAACAAATATATAACAGTTAGTGGAGCCAGACATGGTGATACACACCTGTAATCCCAGCACTCAGGACCCTGAGGCAGGAAGATTATGAGTTCAAGGCCAGTTTGGGCTGCATAGAGTGACCCTATGGGTTTTCTTTTTCATTTATTTATTTACTATTTTGAGACAGGATCTCACTATGTAGCCCAGCCTGGAACTCTCTATGGAGACAACGCTGGCACCAAACTCACAGAGATTGGCGCTTCTTTCTCCTGAGTGCTGGGACTAAAGGTGTGCATCACTATGCCTGACATTTTTTTAAATAGGGGCTGGAGAGAGACCTCTGTTGATGAAGTGCTTGCTTTGCAAGCATGAGGACATGAATTCCATCACCAGAACCCACATTTAAAGTTATTACATTCATTTATTTACTTTGTGTGCATGTGTATATGCACGCTGCAACATGTATGTGGATGCTAGAAGTCAGCTTGAGGGACTTGGTTCTCTCCTTCCACCATATGGATTCCTGAGATAAAACTCACATCATCTGGCTTGTCATCAAGCATCTTTACCCACTGAGCCATCTTGCCAGCCCAGCACCTACATTTCTTAAAAGCCAGGCATGAAGCTGGTGAGATGGCTCACTGGATAAAGCAGTGTCTCACCAAGGCTGAGGATCTGAGTTTGAACACCAGAACCCACATGATGAACAGAGAGAATAGACTCCTTTAAATTATCTACTGACCTCCTCATGCATACTATGGCATGCAAGTGTTCTCCCTCTCTCTCTCTCTCTCTCTCTCTCTCTCTCTCTCTCTCTCTCTCTCTCATAACTAAATGTAACTTCAAAAACTATTAAGCCAGGTATAGTGCACTTATAATCCTAGAACTGGGGAGGTAGAAAGAGGTAGATCTCCTCCCCCCAGCCTCACCTTCTTGGAGAGTTCCAGACCTTGAAGAGAGCCTGTATCAAATGAAAAACTAAAAACAAAAACCAAGATAAATAGTACCTGAGGAGCAGCATCCAAAGCTGTTCTCTGGCCTCCACATGCACACAAATGTATGTATATGCACACTTCCACACACACACCTATGCACAAATACAAACTCACATACAAAATTATATGCCAAGCCTCCTCCAGTATTTTATATATGTAAAGTGACTTTTTAAATATATATTTTTAAAAATTCCCATAAGGATAGAAGGTATTGTTCAGTGATAAAAGGTCCTGGGTTCTATCTCTGACATGGCAAATGTACACACATGTGCACACATGAACACACACACACACACACACACACACACACACACACACACACACACACACACGAAAGGAGCAGGGAAGTTCCTAAAAGGTATAGGTTGAACATCCCTAATTTGAAAATCCTAAATGCAAAATACTTCAAAATTCCAAACTTTTGAACACCAACATGAAACTACAAGTGGAAAATTCCACCTCAGACCCCATGTGGCTCACAGTTAAAACCTAGCTATAGGTCTCAGCAGTTCAGAGAGAATACTGCTCTTCTAGAAGCCAGGTTCAATAACCAGCACCCACGTGGTGGCTCACAACCACCCATAACTCCAGTCCCAGGGGGATCATTCGCCCTCTTCTGGCCTCTTCTTGAACTGCATGCACATTGTTCACAGACATTCATTCATGTAGACAAAATACCCATACACATAACATAAAAATAAATAAATCTTTAAAACAAAAAAGTGCACTAAAAGTAGTGCATAAAGTATACATGAATTGTAAGTGAATTTCATGTTTAAACTTGAGTCTTGTTGGGCATGGTGGAACATGCATTTAATAACCATCCCGCAAGAGCAGAAGCAGGCAGATCCAGGCAGATCTCTGTGAGGGCAGCCTGGTCTACACAGCTAGTTCCAGGTCAACCAAAGCAACATAGAGTGACTTTATCTCAAACAAATAAATAAACAAACAAACTTTGATCTCATGCTCAAGATATTGCATGTTTCTCAAAACTAAAATGCAAAACACTTTTTGGCCTAAACATTTCCAATTACAGATAATCAAACTCCAGTGGCATTAATTTTGTGGTAGTGGAGATGGAATCTAGGGATTAATGTATACTATACAAAATGCCCTACCACTTGCCCAGGCCCTAGTATTTGCTATTACAAGTCTGTCTGTCTGTCTGTTTGTTTGAGATAGGGTCTCCAGTAATCCAGGCTGGACATGAGTGAATGTATAACACATATGTGCAGGTGCCCACATGGTATATCAGATTCTCTGGAGCTGTCATGTCAGGTGGTTGTGAGCCACCTGAAATGGGTATTGGGTATGGACTTGTGTCCTCTAGAAGAGAGTAGAAGACACTTAGAGCCACTGAGCCATCTTTCCAGCCCTTTAATTATTTAATTTTAAGACCTGATCCTGCTCTGTATCCCCGCCTGTCCTGGAACTCGTGCTGTAGCTCAGGCTGACCTGGAACTCACAACAGTCCTCCTACCTCAGCTTCCTGAGTGGTAGGGTTACGGGTGCTATCCACCATGTGCAGCTATTGATCCATTTTAGAGATGAAAAAATTGAGGTACAGTGGGAAGATCTGGCTCTGGAGTCAAGAACTGTGATACTTCAGCACTTTGGTTTTCAGATGGGAGTTGAAAGACTAGAGAAAATCTGTCAAGAAGGGGCAGAGCCACAAATTTAGCTAAAACATCAAGGGGGTTGACAAGATGAGTAGGTAAAGGCATTTGCCGCCAATTCTGACATTGAATTATATCCACACAACCCACATGATAGAAGTAGACAATGGACACTTGAAGTTGTCCTCTGACCTCCACACACATGCCCTGGCATGCATACACACACACACACACACACACACACACACACACACACACACACAAAACTATTTATGAGAAACTGAGTTCAGACCCCAGCATTCATATAACAAGCTAGGCATGTGCTCACCGGACCGCAACCCCAGTACTATGAAGGAGTAGAGACAGGAGGATTGCTGGGATTGCTGGCTATCAGCCTCAGTCCAGGTTCAGGGAGAGATCCTGTCTCAAAGGAATAACGTGGAGAGTGATAAAGGGCACCCAGTACCCTCCTCTGGTCTCCACATACATGTGTGCACAAATGCACACACATGCACACACACACAAATTGGGAAAAAAAGCAGTTTTCAAAATATAACAAGAGGATGGTGATTAGTGGCATGGGTTTAGCCACATGCCCACTAGCCCCATTTCCATCTGCCCATATAGGCCATCAACCGTGCTATGCAGAAGCCTCAGGAAGAGTATAGTATCGGTGTCCTTGACATCTACGGCTTTGAAATCTTCCAGGTTTGGCCCAGGATCCCCCGCCCCCATCCCCTTATCCTCAGCCCAGTCCTATTCTGCCTGTCATCCTGGACTTACCCAGTGTTTGCCAAAGATTCCAGCATAGTCCACTAACAGAAAGGCCCTTTTCCTTCCTTGGCAGAAAAATGGCTTTGAGCAGTTCTGCATCAACTTCGTCAATGAAAAGCTGCAACAGATTTTTATTGAGCTCACCCTGAAGGCGGAGCAGGTGGGCAGGGCAGCCAAGTGGCAGAAGACAGGACTTCAAGTACAAGGGTTACTAAGTCACTTGGGACCCCACACACAAATTCATTCCCACCTTTCTCTGCTCACTGTATTAGTTAGCTTTCTGTTACTATAACAAAATACCAGACATAATCAATTTATAAAGAGAAAAGCGAGGCTGGAGATACTGCTCAGTTGGTAGAGAGCACTTGCCTAGCATGTATGAAGCCATCCCCACCTGGATAAACTGAGCGTGGTAGTGCATGCCTGTCATTCCAACACTCAGGAGGCCAAAGCATAAATGTCTAGTGAGACCCCCATCTTGAAAAATGGAGCTAGATGTAATAGTGAACATGTTTAATCTCAACACTCACTCACAAGTCAGAGGCAGGCAGATCTCTGTGATCTACATAGAGAGTTCTAAGACAGCCAGGGCTACATAGAAAGACCCTGTCTCAAAATAAGAAAGAAAGGAAGGGAGGGAGGGAGGGAGGGAGGGAGGAAGGAAGAAAAAAAAGAAAGAAAGAAAAGTAGAAGAAAATGAAAAAAGACAGTTGTTTAAGCAACTGCTTTGTGCCAGATACTGTTTGACATATGGGTAGAGGAGCTAGGGACAACAGAGAAATATCTGCCAAGGACTCTCGAGTGTATAGATCAGTAGTAGAACAACCTGGCTTGCTAGGTTCCAACCCCAGCATCTGAAAAAGAAAACAAATCTGCTTTGATTTTGCCTCTTTCTTAAATTCAGAGCCTGAGGCAAGGGTTCAGGGACAAAAAAAGGGCAATGAAAAAGGTGATTTAAAATAAATTTTATAAGAACCCAGGCTGGGGATGTAGCTCAGTGGGTAGAATGGCTTGACTCCCACACACAGAGCCCTGGGTTCCATCCTCAGTACCTCATAAACTAGGTTATGGTGCACAGTTGTCATCCCAGCACTCGGAGGTGGAGGCAAGGGGAGTCCAAGGTCATCCTTGGCTGTGTATTGAGTTCAAGGGCAGTTCAAGGGCTACATGAGAGCCATCTCAAAAAAATAAAAAGAGCCCAAAGTCCAAATAGGGTCTTCCTGAGCAGGTTATGTTTGCAACTGTTCCCCGATTCTGCTGAGTCCCAAAGAAGGTGTCACAAAACACCACAGAGTTAGTCTAGGAAAGGAATGAGGGCACTGGGATATTTATTTACAACTCCCTCTGGCGGCAGGTCAGTGGGGACCAGGGGCAGGGATACCTTCCGAGGAAAAGTGATGAGATGGGGGTAGGGGGAGTGAGGCAGGTCCCACACTGTCTTATTCCCCCGACCCCAGGAGGAGTATGTGCAGGAGGGCATCCGCTGGACCCCTATCGAATACTTCAACAACAAAGTCGTGTGTGACCTCATCGAAAACAAGCTGGTGAGGAGTGAGCTGACTTTAGGAATCTCACCGGGCTTCAGAGCTGAATCAGTGTGTCTGGAAAGGGTTTATGATATCCTAGAGGGCCCATATCTGAAATATCTTCTAACCACCCCATCCATTGATTCTTCTGCTCACCTGTTCACCTTTCTTTTATTCACTCAGCAAACACTCCCATAGGTAACATTTTCAGTGTCACGGAAATCCCTTCAAGTGATACCAGTGTGGGGAAGGGAAAAGGGCATGGATTCCCTGCACTCCAGGGTGGGGGGAGAAGAGAGAAAAGGCAGGGGGAGGGCAGAGGGAAGCGGAGGAAAGAGTAGAGAAAGTTCACAATTTGAGCTTGTATTTAGGAGTCCCCTACCAGCCCCCCAGCTTACTCATGGAGGACCCCAGCCAGGCTGAGCCGAATCTCTGCTCCCCTCAGAATCCCCCAGGCATCATGAGCGTGCTAGACGATGTGTGCGCCACGATGCACGCCACCGGTGGCGGCGCGGACCAGACGCTGCTGCAAAAGCTGCAAGCTGCAGTGGGCACCCACGAACACTTCAACAGCTGGAGCGCGGGTTTCGTCATCCATCACTATGCAGGCAAAGTGCGTGGAACTCCCTTCCGGGTGGGCGCCCCATCACAAACCCCAGAGGTTCCAGTTTGCAAATCCTAGCCTTCTGACCAAGTGCTTCCTCCAGAGCGCCCCCTGCTGACCAGAACCAGGGACTTTCCCTCAAATCGCCTAGACACCCGCCATGTGTCAGGGCTGCAGACACACATTGGCCTCTAATCGGTTTACCCAATTAACACGGTAGCTCCTAACAGATAAGACAGATGGAACCCAATTGGGAAAATAGGTCACCACGGTTCTTCTATGCTGGCACACACACTGCAGTGCTCAATATAACCCTCTGATGGAAACACATCCCCAGTTCCGCAGACACATTACAAACAAAATGGGCTAGAGCCTCACCCCTACCTGAGGCTACAGGAATGCCCTAGTTTCTGACCCAAGCTATAGCCACCTTCCCAAGAGTTTTCTGGCTGTTACCACAACCTCAGCAGGGGTAGCAAATAGTCCCAGATGTCCTTAGAATATTGTCTGTGTTCCTCAGCCAGGGCTGGAAAAGCCAGGAGGAAGACCACTAAAAGATCTCACTTGAAACAGCAACCCCAGGCCACCTTCCAGACTGAAGCCCCTTTCCCCAAAAATCCACTGCCCAAACTCCAAATAACATCCTAGCCCCAAGATAGCCACACACATCTATAATCCCAGCACTTGGGAAATGGAAACAGAAAGAGCAGAGCCATCCTTGGCTATATAGGGACTTTGAGGCCAGCCTGAGCTATCTGATACCTTGTCTCAGAGAGAGAGAGAGAGAGAGAGAGAGAGAGAGAGAGAGAGAGAGAGAGAGAGAGAGAGAGAGAGAGAGAAAACCCAAAATAAACATATATATAAAGCCCATCATGGTAACATATGCCTTTAACTCCAGAATTCTGGAAGCAGAGGCAGATAGATCTCTGTGAATTCAAGGGCAGCCTGGCCTACAAAGCAAGTTCCAGGCCAGGTGGGCTACACAGTGAGACCCTGTCTCAAAAACAAACAAATAAACAAAAATATTCTGGGAGCTAAGGAGATAGATCGGTAAAGTGCAAGCATGAGGACCTGAATCCAGATACCCACCAGCACCCACATAAAAACCAGACACGGGGGCTGGAGAGATGGTTCAGAGGTTAAGAGCACTGGCTGTTCTTCCAGAGGTCATGAGTTCAATTCCCAGCAACCACATGGTGGCTCACAACCATCCATAAAGAGATCTGGTGCCCTCTTCTGACCTGCAGGTGTATATGCAGACAGAACACTGTATACATAATAAATAAATAAATCTTAAAAAAAAAAAAAAAAAAAACCAGACACGGTGGCTTGCTCCAGCACTGGCAGCCTGGAGATGGGATTCCTGGGACTTGTTGGCCAGTCAGTTTAGTCAATCAGCAAGTTCTAGGTTCAGTGAGAAACCATGACTCCCCCACCCCAACACCAACAAAGGTGGAGAGTCACTGAGGAAGACAGCCAACATCAACTTCAGGACTGCACACATACTAAGACAAATATCCAGCCTAATCTCACTGGCAGCACCCAGGGACCTGTCCTAGCTTCAGTCCCCTACCCTCAAATTTGGCCTATGACTTCCCACCTTTTCCTGCTACTGATCAAAACTTCAGCCCTGACCCTCAACCTGGGCATCTCCCCTTACCTCCAACTCCAGCCTTCATCTTCCAGCTTCAGTTGAACATTAGACTTCTGGGGAGCCAGGACCCAAACAATAGATTACAACCTACCATTTGGAATCACATTTCTTCTAACTGCACATAACCCCAGTCCTCTTGGCCCTGAGCAGGCCACCTGCCCTCACATCCACACATGAAACTCTATGTTTCTCATCCTCAACACTGCCTCCCTCCACCTCCAGGTCTCCTATGATGTCAGTGGCTTCTGTGAGAGGAATCGAGACGTACTGTTCTCTGACCTTATAGAACTGATGCAGTCCAGTGACCAGTGAGTAGTCCTGTGCAGCCTCTGGGCAGAACTCCCAGAGGGATGGAGGCCTGGGAACTACTGTGTCCTCTCCAGAATTTGGTCGTGCTATGGACTTTGTGACCATGGCTAAGACACAGCTCTGATCTAAAACTCTGAAGGCTGAGGGTATAACTCAGTGATGAGTGCCCCCCCTAGAGTGTAGGGGCTTGCATTTCAGTTCTAGAACAGAAAAAGAAAAGCAATTCCCAAACCCTGATCTACTGACACTAGGTCCCTCCCCAGGGGAAGCCCCTGAGTTCAGTTCCCTTCATGTCTCATCCACAATGCCTCCCTGCAATCCCAACAGTCCAGTGACTGGATAGTTGCCCTTTAAGCAAAGTGAAAACACATTACAGGTCTGGGAACATAGGTCAGATGGTATGCTAGGTAAGCCCTGGGTTCCCTCCCCAGTACTGTATAAACTAGACATAGTTGTACACTCAGGAGGTGGATGTTGGAGGTAGGAGGTGAGTTCAGGGCCATCCTGGGCTCCATGAGACCCTGCCTCAAAAGGAGAGGGCCTTGGGGTGTAGCTCAGTTGGTAGATTTCTTGCCTAAAATACAGGAAGTCCTTGATTCCATCCCCAGTACCCCAGAAAACCAGATGTGATGTCATACACCCATCATCCCAGCTGGTAGATGTCAAAGGACTAGGAACTCAAGGTCTCCTTAGCTATATATTGAGTTTGAGCTTGAGCTCCATGACATATAAACAAGACAGGGGAGATAGCTCAGTAGGCAAAGCACTTGCTGCACAAGCCTGACGGACAGTTCAGCCCTGATTTTGGATCCCCAGATTTCATGTAAGCTGGACATACTGACATAAGCAAGCATCTGTAGGCAAACAGACCTATGGGAAAATGGTAAGTGAAGACCCCAGGATCTCCCAACTTTCTGCCTGGCTTATGAAGAGACTATCTCAAGTTGAAAAAGCAAGGAACATTCAAAGGTTGTCCTTTGACCTCCACCCAAATGCACCTACACTCACACAAAAACCTTGCGTAAATAAATCAATAGGCAAAAAGGGAGGCATGCAGGTAAGGTTCTTGAATCAGCATGCACTTGTCTCAGAACAAGAAATGGGTTCTGGGGCTTAAACTCAGTTCTTCATGTTTACATAGCAAACACTTTATCAAGTGACCCAGCTCCCCAGACCCTGTGCACATTTTTTAGGGGGTGGTTTTATGGTTTTTTTGTTTTGTTGAGACAAGGTATTGCTATGTATCTCTGGCTGGCCTGGAACTTGCTATATAGACCAGGTTGTTCTCAAACTCATAGAGATCTATCTGCCAAAGGCATGCACCACTACTCCTAGCTGCTATGCACATTTCTTTGCATACATCATATGCAAATGTGTACCTGTAGGATGGCTGCTTAAAGGAGACATGCCTCTGTTGCCCAAGACACTTTTCCAGTTGATATATTTTTCTATTTGTTTATTTATTTGGGTGGATCTTATGTAGCCTCAGCTGACCTCAAACTCACTTTGTAACCAAGAGTGACCTTGAACTTCTAATCATTCAACCTCAGTACTCAGACTATTGGCATACACGGCTGTGCTTGGTATATGTGGTGCAGAAAACAGAACCCAGGTCTGTGTTCATGCAAAGCAACCACCTACCAACTAAGCTGTACCCCAGCCCCTTGTTTGTTGCTGTTGTTTTAAGACAGGGTTCTCTCTCATGCTTGCATGGTGGTGCATGCTTTTAATCCCAGCACTTGGGAGCAAAGGCAAGCAGATTTCTGTGAGTTCAATGCCAGTCTAGTCTGTATAGTGAGTTCCAGGACAGAAGAGAGCCAGGGCTATGTAGAAAGATCTTGTCACAAGAAAAAAAAAGTCTCATGTAGCCCAAGCTGGCCTTGAACCCACTATGTAGCTAAGGATGAACTTGAACTTCTCCTGCCTCCACCTAAGTGCTGGGATGACAGGTGTGCACCCCTACAGCTGCACATGTTTCTGTTGTATTTAGCATACTGTAAGATTGCTATTACTGGGCTGGAGAGATGGCTCAGAGGTTAAGAACACTGACTGCTCTTCCAGAGGTCCTGAGTTCAATTCCCAGCAACCATATGATGGCTCACAACCATCTGTAATGAGATCTGCCTCCCTCTTCTGGCCTACAGGGACACATGCAAACAGAACACTGTATACATAATAAATAAATGAATCTTAAAAACAAAAAAAAACTTAAAAAAAAAGATTGCTATTATCATGGAGTAAGACTAAAAAGTGCAGATAAATCCAGAGACCTGAGAGACAGTGCCAACCCCATAGTCCTTGCCCACATTCAGGGAGAACCCTATTTGCATCTTGTCACTGGGGCAGCCCCTACATGTAGGTGGAGTTTTTCTGTATTCCAGCAGTTGCTCCCAAATAACCACAAGAGACTTAATATAAATTATTAATGCTCAGCTGATAGCTCAGGCTTATTACTAACTAGCTCTTACAAATTAAATTAACCCATTTCTATTAATCTATGTGATGCCCCAAGGCTCATGACATTTACCTCTCCGGCATGTCTTTCTTACTCTCTGGCTGGCTGGTGACTCCTCTGACTCATCCTTCTTCCTCCCAGCATTCTCTCTATGCCAGGTTGTCTCAGTCAATCTCTTCCTGTCCAGCTATTAGCCAATCAGCTTTTTATTAACAATGAGAGCAATGCATACTTACAGTGTGCAAAGATTGTTCCATAGCACCTACAACTCTGGGGGAAGAAGGAGGATGCCCCAGAGTCTGTCTGCATTCCCACGCACTCCTTTCTCCTTCCTAGGGCCTTCCTACGGATGCTTTTTCCTGAGAAGCTGGATGTAGACAAGAAGGGCCGCCCCAGTACTGCTGGATCCAAAATCAAGGTGGGCCTGGTGGTGGGGAAGGGACAGGAAAGGCAAGTCCAGACTCTCTCCTTGTTTCAATGTCTGTTCCCTACTTTTTGGGTTTTCAATGTCTCTGGCACCCTTTGGCCTATAGGGTCTTTCTTCAGCTCTGGATTTTGGAAGAAAGATTGAACAATATTTGATCCATCTGTCTTTCTTCCTTTTCTTCTTTCTCTCCCCTCATTTCCCTCTCCCCCTTTCTCTCCCTGTCTTCATCCCTCCTCTCCCTCTTTCCTTCACTTCCCATCTCTTTCCCTTCTCTGCCCTCCCTTCTTCCCTCTCCCCCTCCCTCCCTCTCCCCTTCCTTCCACCTTTCCTTCCCCACCCTTATCTAACTCTCTTTTCCCCCTCCTTTTCCTCTTTCTGTCCCTCCATCTTTCCTTTCTCCCTCCCTTCCTTCCTGTGCTTGGAGACAGAACCCAGGTCTTGTACATGCTAAGTATGCATGCTATGCTTGGGTTACACTTCCCACATCACTTCTTTTAAAAGATGTAAATACAAATATATATGCATATTATAGAATGGCTATCTCACCCATTTTAAGTGTGCAGTTCAGTGACACTGACTATGTTCACAGCCATCCCCATCAGCCATCTCCAAACTTTCTCATCTTTCCAGATTCAAACTCTGTCCCCATTCACAACTAAATTCCTAACCCCAGGGTCCTATCATCCTATCATAAAGATCTGGTAGGTCTAAGGACTTCTTGTGAGTGGCATCACCTAGAGGGTTTCTGGCTATTGTTACTCACATAATGTACTCAGGGCCCATCCATGCTGGGGCTTGTGTCAGAAAGTCCTTCCTTCTTAAGGCTGATTATTATCCTACTGTGTGGATGTACCATGTTACATTCATTTTTTTCATTCACTGTGCAGAAGAGCTGGGTCCACCTTCTCAGCTGCTGAAGGTGAATAATGCTGCAGTGAGCATGGGGTCCAATCCTAAGCCCACATTCACAATCATTTTTGAGGACTTTGTGATGGTAGCAGATGCAGGATCCTCACACATACAAGAAATTAGCGCAGTCCCACTTGGCAGATGGAGATGCCACAGATCAGAAAGGGGCAGTCGTAGGTCACACAGCAGAATTTGAACCTGAATATCTCATGCCACTTCCCTAGTCTTCCCACTTGGCCCCACAGCTTTCCCCAAATGACTAAAATGCATTACCCAAGAACCCAAGACTGAGCCCCTCAACCCACCCCCACATTCAAGTTCCTTATTTCCAAAGTCGCTGTCCCCTTGAAGACAGGCAGGAAGTCTGGGCAGTAGTTATTCTGGTTTTTCTATTACTCAGTCATCAAACATCTCCTAAATACTTACAATGTGTTAAGCTATGTGGTGTAGCAGACACGAGGACTCCCAAGTTTGGGGTTTAAGAGCTGGGTAGATGCACAATATCAGCCCTCATGGTGGGAGCTTAGAGAGGGATACACACTTATGGCTGCCCAGTCAGCCTTCACCCATCTTGGATGAGTCTGTTTCTTGAACGGGGAGAGCCAGGGGACCCATCCTCAAGCCTTCCTCACTTGTGCCTTTTCCTCTGCCTCAGAAACAAGCCAATGACCTGGTGTCTACGCTAAAGAAGTGCACACCCCACTATATCCGCTGCATCAAACCCAATGAGACCAAGCGGCCCCGGGACTGGGAAGAGAGCAGGTGAACTGACCACCCCTTCACATTACACACCAGATCTATGCACCCCTTGGACCAGCCACTTACATTTGACTCACAGACAAAATACCAACTTTAGGACCACTCCAGGCTGGACTCTAAGACTAGCTCAAAATCCTCTAAGGGGTCAGTGAGACAACCCAGCAGGTAAAGATGTTTGCTGCCAACCTGATAATCTGGGTTCAATCCTGAGCTCCACGCAGTGGAAGGAATGAGCCAACACCTGCAAGTTGCCCTCTGACTGCCATGTGCATGTGCATACACACACACACACACACACACACACACACACACCAACAAAAATAAACTTTAAAATTGTAAAACCTCTGGAGCCCCAGAGTTATAGATAGAACTGATGGAGGCACCTCCCCAATCCCCAAGTAAACCCAGACTGCCTGTGAGAGAACTCAAACCCAATTTCTCAGACCTAAACTCCAGAACTGATCCTAGAACCAACCTCCGAGATGAGCCCAGACCTCAGGTCTTAGTCCAAGATTTGGTTCCCAAACTAAGCTAAGAAAACCTCTTAGGCCTCAAAACTCACCATCTAAACCACACCCGAGCTAGGCATGGTGGCTCACATGCTTATTCTCAGCCTTGGAGGTAGAGGTTGGAGGATCACATATTCAAGGGAAACCTAGGCTGCAAAGAGAGATACTGGCCATAGACAGACAGATAGATATGTAGGCAATAGATAGGTCAGATATAGGCTGATGACAGATATAGATAGGTATAGATAGATAGATAGATAGATAGATAGATAGATAGATAGATAATAGATAGATAGGTAGATAGATAGCAGGTAACATATAGATATATAATGGAGAGATACATAATGTATAGGTAGGTGAGATAGATAGATAGATAGATAGATAGATAGATAGATAGATAGATGATTGATAGATATAGATAGAAGGATGGATAGATGATAGAATGATAGATGAGAAAGAGAAACAGACAGACAGACCAATCCATGAGATGAGAGAGAGACAGACAGACAGGCAGGCAGGCAGATAGACAGACAGACAGACCAGTCCATGAGATGCACCTACCACAAATCTAGGCCCCATGCCACAAGTCTGCTCTGGGCAGCTCCCACTCTCTGGGACTTAGGCCACCTCACTCACACAGGGTGAAGCACCAGGTGGAATACCTGGGCCTGAGGGAGAACATCCGGGTGCGAAGGGCAGGCTTTGCCTACCGTCGACAGTTCTCCAAGTTCTTGCAGAGGTGAGGCACCCATCTTCCCTGCCTTGACTGCCTCACCTACTGAAATGTCCAACCAGCAGGCCTGCTCCAAATCCCCCACACCTTCATATCCTCTGCCTCCAGGTATGCCATTCTGACCCCTGAGACATGGCCACGGTGGCGTGGAGATGAACGCCAGGGTGTCCAGCACCTGCTTCGTGCTGTCAACATGGAGCCAGACCAGTACCAGATGGGGAGTACCAAGGTCTTTGTTAAGAACCCAGAGTCGGTGAGTGTGCATGAGAGAGAAAAAGTTCTGGGTCAATCCCCAGAACTCACATAAAGGTGGATGGAGAAAACTGTACAAACATGTACTCCTCTGACCTCCACATATGCACCATGAGACTGCTGTACCACACTGTCTCACACACAGACACAAGCACACGTACATACACAAAGACAAACGCATACACAAAGACCACACACACACATTTTAAAGGGTGAAATATAAAAGTATAAGAAAATAAAAAGGGAGCCAGGTGGTGGTGGCACATGCCTTTAATCCCAGCATTAGGGAGGCGAGGCAGGTGGATCTCTAAATTTGAAGCCAGCCTGGTCTACAGAGAGAGTTCCGGGACAGCCATGGCTACACAGAGAAGCCCTGTCTTGAAAAACCAAATCAATCAATCAATAGGGAAGAAGATGGGAGGTAAGGAAAGTTGAGGTTGAGGTTGATGTTGGGGATACAGCTCAGTGACAGAGCATTTGCCTAACATTTAGGAGGTCCTGGGATTCATCTCTAGCACTACTGAAAGAGAGAGAGTGTGCATGTGCTGGGTGTGATAGTATACAATACCTATAATCCCAGTCTTCCAGAGGCTGAGGTAGGAGGCTCACAAGTTCAAAGCTATCCTAAGCTATATAGCAAGACCCCGACAGGGTGGAGGGGAGACTTTGAGTACTCCCCATGTGACCACCACCATGTGACCTTGACCAGGCTTTGTCACCTCTCCAAGCCTCAGTTTCCCCATATGGTAAAGGAACAAAGTAAGAGCTACCCTCCAGGACTGGAATGAGGATTAGACAAAGCAGGAAATCACCTGCACAGTGCCTGGGACATAAGTATGTACTCAGAAAAGGCCCTGTTTTGGAGACCAGGTCTGGGAAAGGAAGAATACATGGTATAGTGTAGTGGTGTCCCTTTGGTGGAATAAAGAGCCACCATTTATCCAGAGATCCTTTTTCCCTTTGTCCTTCGTCACTCCTTTTCTCATCCCTTCTGCTCTTCTAACATCCCTTCAGCTTCTCCTCCCTCTCTCTAATACATATACAAATATACATGCATATTATATATAATATATGAGACACACACAGAGACAGAGAGAAGAGAGAGAGAGAGAGAGAGAGAGAATAAGAATATCCCATCTTCCTAATTACTTGCAGGCAAAATTTCTAGAAGAAACTGACCCTCCAAAAATTGATACACAGTAGGAAAAAAATACATCAAGCAAAACCAGCTTGGCCAAAGCTTTTTTTTTCCCTCAAGACAGGGTCCTATGAAACCCTGGCTAGCCTCCACTCCACTGTGTATCAGCTCCTCCTATTACCACCTCACACCCTATTACCACCTCACACCACAGCCACAGGTTTTGTTGTTGTTGCTGTTGTTGTTGTTGTTTTTAATGTGGTGCTGGGGATGGAACCCCAGGCTTGTGCATGCTAGGCAAACACTCACACAACTAAGCTACATCCCCAGCCCATCTGGCAAAGTTATATAAGAAAAATTAAAGTTTGAGGTTGGGTATAGTACCTCGTGACTGCAATGGCAACACTCAGGCTGAGGCAGTAGGACTGGGAGTTCCATGTCAGCTTAGTGTCCCAAAAAGATTTAACTGTGACAAAATTTTTGGCGTGTAGATCTTGATTTTAGGGAAATCGACTAGGTAAGAACAATTAACACATGATGAGTTAGTGGTCAGTTTTTATCAGAATGAATAAAAAAAAGAGACTGAATTATTTGTTGAGTTTTTTTGCTTTTGATAAGGTCTCATTATTTAGCCTTTGCTGGCCTGGAACTTGCTACATACACCAGGCTAGCCTCGAACTCACAGAGACCCACCTGTATACTGGAATTAAAGGTGTGCACTAACTGGGTGTTGTGGCACATCCCTTTAATTGCACCAATCAGGAGGCCAGCCTGGTCTATATTGTGAGTTCCATGGCCATGTACAAAGACTATGTCTCAAGATAGATAGATAGATAGATAGATAGATAGATAGATAGATAGATAGATAGATAGAGACGATAGACAGATAAATGATAGATAGATGAAAGATAATTTTTTAAAGATTTTACTTATTTTATGTGTATGTGTGTTTTGCCTGCATGTCTGTGTGCATGCAGTAGCTGTGGAGGCCAGAAGAGGTCATCAGATCCCCCCAGAACTGGAGGTACAGACAATTGTGAGTCACCATGTCACTGCTAGGAAACAAACCCGAGGTCTTAACCACTGAACGTCTGTCTCTCCAGCTCCAAAACTAATTTTTTGGGGGAAAGTGGAGGGTGGGCAGTGACCGACTCATTTGAAAAGAATTTTAAGGCCAGGCAGTGGTGGTGCACGCCCTTAATCCCAGCACTCAGGAGGCAGAGCCAGGCGGATTTCTGTGAGTTCAAGGCCAGCCTGGTCTACAGAGTAAGATCCAGGACAGGCACCAAAACTACACAGAGAAACCCTGTCTCAAAATAAACCAAAAAAAAAAAAAATGAAAGTTGAAAAACGAAAGTAGATAGGCTGGAAAGATGGCTCAGCAGTTAAGAGCACTAACTGCCCTTGCAGAGGACCCGGATTTTGTTCCCAGCACCCACATGCTGGTTGACAACCATCCATACTTCTTGCCTCCTTGGGCACTGTATGCACATGGTGCACAGATATTCATGTGGGCAAAACACCCATACACATAAAATTAAAAATAAACAAATCTTTTAATTGAAAAATAAATAAACCAGCAGGGTAGTTGTTGCACATGCCTTTAATTCCAGCACTCAGGAGGCAGAGGCAGGTAGATCTCTGTGAGTTCAAGGCCAACCTAGTCTACAGAGTGAGTTCCAGGACAGCTAGGGCAACACAAAGAAACCCTGTCTTAAAACACCAAACAAACAAAAATCTTTAAAAAGTAAAAACAAAAGTAGAGAAAAAAAGGCTAAAAGAAAAGGCTGGGCTGCTCAGAGGATAAAGACTCTTGCCAAGCTTGACATCTGAATTTGATCCCTAGTACCCACATGGTAAAAGGAGAGAACTGACTCCCAAAAGCTGTCTTATAGCTGTGATGAGTTCATCCCAGCAAAACACACACACACACACACACACACACACACACACACACACACACACACACACACAATTTTAAAACTTTAAAAAGAAAAAAGGGTAAGAATGTACTAAGACTAGCTGGGTGGTGGTGGCGTACCCTTTAATCCCAGCACTAGGGAGGCAGACGCCAGGCAGATCTCTGTGAGTTCAAGGCCAGCCTGGTCTACAGAGTGAGATCCAGGATAGGCACCAAAACTATACAAAGAAACCCTGTCTCGAAAAAACAAACAAACAAATAAAAAGAATGTATAAAGACTGTGTTATATGAAGAAAAAAACACAAATCAAGTTAATGATCATGAACCTTTCTCACCCCCTGTAACGCACTTATAAAGATCAGTCTATGTCCGGTAGGCATGTGTGTGTGTGTGCTGGGATGAAACTCAAGGCCTCACCATGCTAACCACACACTCCACCAGTGCACTATACCCCAAACCCTTGATTTGAATTTTGTTCTTTTTGGGGTGATAAGTGTTTTAAAACAGAATCTCTTGTAATTCAGGCTGGTCTCAAACTCATCATGCAGTTGAGGCTGGCCTTGAACTCCTGGCCCTCCTGCCTCCATCTCCCAGGGGCTGGGTATACAAGTATGTGCCACCATACTGCACACCCAGTTTAAAGAGAGAAATCTAAACACAGATGCAGGGAACAGGACACAAGAATGAAGGCAGGGATTGGAGGGATGCATTTGATCTCTAGTTTAAGGTTGCATCAGAGCATTAGCAGCATTGTAACTCTTATGTGTTGGGTAAATCCCTCTGGTGAGGTGGGTAAATCCCTCTTGAGAGAGAATGGTTACACAAGTGTCAAAGCATATGTGTGGAGCTCAGCTTGAAGGAGTGTGATCTTTCCTTCTACCATGTGAATTCCCAGGTCAGAACTTTAAGTCTCCAGGCTTGGAGGCAAATGTTTTTATCCATTGAGCTATTTCTACAGGCCCTAGTTATTTTTTTAAAAACAGAGCCCAATTTTTATTTTCTTTTTTTTTATTATTTTTTAAATTTAAAACTCATAGCCCAGGCTGGCCTCGAACTCGTGATCCTCCTGCCTCCGCCTCCTTCAGCAAATCCTACCGGCGTGCGCCACCACAACCGGCCCAATTTTTATTTTCAATAGTATTTCCCAGGCTGGAGAAATGGCACAGATAGTAAAGTGCTTGCCATGAAAGTGTGAATTTGGTCCTCAGAATCCACGTTAAAAGGCCAGGCTTGGTGAGACACACCTGTAATCCCAAGGTTGGATGCAGGAGGGGTATGGGATCATTGGCCAGCAAGCCCCAGGTTCAGAGAAAGACCCTGCCTCAAATAATAAGGTAGAGGACTGGAGATATGGCTCAGCAGTTAAGAGCACTGGTTGCTCTTCCAGAGGATCCAAGTTCAATTCCCAGCAACCACATGGTGGTTTACAATCATCTGTAACTCCAGCTCCAGATGATCTGATGCCTCTTCTGGCCTCTGAGGGCACTGCATGCACATATTGTATATACACAAAAATAATAATTAAAAAAAGTAAAGCTAGAGAGAAATAGAAGACACCCAACATCGACCTCTGGCTCCAAAGGCACACACACACACACACACACACACACACACACACACACACAGAGAGAGAGAGAGAGAGAGAGAGAGAGAGAGAGCACAAACCAGTGGCTGAGTTGGGATTTGAGGCTAACAAGTTCTAATTTAATTTAATTTTATTAATTTGTGTGTGTGTGTGTGTGTGTGTGTGTGTGTGTGTGTGTGTGTGTGAGAGAGAGAGAGAGAGAGAGAGAGAGAGAGAGAGAGAGAGAGAGAGAGAGAGAGAGAGAGAACTATGCTCACAGAGGCTAGAAGAGAATGTTGGATCCCATGCAGCTGGAGTTGCAGGTGGTTGTGGGCTGCCTGACCTGGGTGCTGGGAACTGAACCTGGCTCTTCTGCAAGAGGTACTCTTGACTGCTGTGCCACATTTCTAGCACACCACTCCTGTGCTAATTTAATGCAGAGGGTGTGAGCCCCAAAATGGGAAGGACTTCTGGGTACAGTCATGAAGAGGAAGTGAAAACCATTTTGGGTGGAGAGAATGTGACTCAGTTGACAGAGTGCTTTGCTAGTATGCACAAAGCTCTGGGTTCTATACCCAGCAACCATTAAACCAGATGTGACGGGACATGCCTGTCCTCCCAGCACTTCAGAGCTAGAGGCAGGAAGATCAGGAATTCGAGGTTGTCCTCGGCTGCATAGCAAGTGTGAGGCTATCCAGGAGGATCCATAGGAAATCAGGGTCTTGGGAGATGCCAGGACCCATCATCCCTCCCTTCTGTCCAGCTTTTCCTCCTGGAAGAGATGCGAGAGAGAAAGTTTGACGGCTTTGCCCGCACCATCCAGAAAGCCTGGCGGCGCCACATAGCAGTCCGAAAGTATGAGGAGATGCGGGAAGAAGGTGAGGAGTCTCTATTAGGAGGCTCAGTCTGGGGGCAGGAGGATTAAGGAGAGGCCACGACTTTCAACCACACATGTGTCCTCACAGCTTCCAACATCCTACTTAACAAGAAGGAACGCAGGCGAAACAGCATCAACCGGAACTTCGTAGGGGACTATCTGGGGCTGGAGGAGCGGCCTGAGTTACGCCAGTTCCTGGCCAAAAGGGAACGAGTGGACTTTGCCGACTCAGTCACCAAGTATGACCGCCGCTTCAAGGTAAGACCTGAGTGGGTGTTCCCATTTGAGGCTGTGCCTCTGCCTAGTAGTACCCACACCAGAAGCATACCACACATGGGACCCAGATGTACCTATCCACAGGTGTATATTCACCTAGCCTCCAAACATCTCTCCTCAGAGGCATGCCCACCAGGCTCAGACACATCTATCCACAAGTAAATTCTCCACTGTGGTAGACACTGCTGTCCATCAAACATTACCTCATGGGGCTGGCAGAATACTTGCTTAGCATGAACTCTGGGTTCCATTCCCAGTACTACACAAACCAGGCATGGTAGCAAATGTTTATAATCCCAGCTCTTGGAGGGTTCAGGATTTCAAGGTCATCCTCTACTATATAGTGAGTTCCAGGCCAGCCTGAGCTATGTGAAACCCCAAGGGGGAGGGAAGACACTTCATGTCGCACTGTCACACCCATCCACACTCCCACAGCTGGTAATAGAGCTGTCTATCAAACCTGTCCTTGTGTAGCCCAGACACACCTATCCATAAGCTACACCCTTGTTTTGCCAGATACATCTGTCTATTGCAACACATCCACCTTACCCAGAAGCCCATTCCATAGGACCATTTCCCTCACCTGGCTTAGATACACCTGTCCATTGGACACACTTTCACTTGATTCTGACAACCTTGTCCATATAAACTCTCACCAGACCAAGAGAGCCTTGTTCACAGGTGCATGCCTGACTGTCCCAGAAATCATGACCAGATTAATTATCATGACCAATTAACGTAATCTAGAAAATCCCTTATAGACATGCACAGCTGTATATGGCATGTAGCCTATAGCCCATACACCACCACCAAGAACACTTTCATCTCTGGATCCAGATCACCCACTTCCATCAGACACATTCTCATCTGCTGTCTCAGTTAGGATTTCTATTGCTATGAAGAGACCCCATGACCAGCACAACTCTTACAAGGAAAACACATAATTGGAATCGCTCACTTACAGTTTCAGAGGTTCAGTCCATTATCATCATGGCAGGGACCATAGCAGTGTGCAGGCAGACATGGTGCTGGCTACATCTTGATCAGAAGGCAACATGAAATGGCCTGTGACACTGGGAGTAGTTTAAGCATAGGAGAACTCAAAGCCCACCCCCAAAGTGACACACTTCCTCCAACAAGGCCACACCTTCTAACAGTCCCACTCCCTCTGGAGGCCATTTTCTTTCAAGCCACCACACCTGCTGTCTTAGTTTTGTTACTCAATAAAATACTCTGATAAAAGCAACTTACAGAAGAAAGGATTTATTTGGCTCACAATTCCAGGCTACAGTCCATCAACATGGGAGAGTTAAGGAAGGAACCTTAAGCAGCTAGTTACATCCACAGCAAGAGCAGAAATCAATGAATTGAAGCATGTATGCATGTATCTGGCTTGCTCCTTTTTATTCAGCCTGAGGCACAGTCCATGAAATAATTTTCCCACCTTATAATTGTAATCAAGATAATTTCCCACAGATGTGCCCACACACCAACCTAGTCTACAGAATCCCTTCCCAGGTGATTCTAAATTGTGCCAAATTGACAATTAAAACCAATTATCAGGGACCAGAGACAGCACAGCAGATAAAGGTACTTGCTGCCAATCCTGAGACCTGAGTTCAATACCTAGAACCAAGTTGGTAGAGAGAGAGAACTAACTCCCCCAGGTGGTCCTCTGACCTCCATGCCATGTCATGCACATGTCCACACATACACAGACACACACACAAATACATAACTGTTAAAATAAAATATAACTAACCATCACTGCTGAATTTTGGGCCAACCTCTGCAGATCTTATCTGCTGGACATGGGGGTCTGAGGACCTGAAAGAATGGGGCAGACTACAGTCTAATGCTGTGGAAGGATTTCAGTGTGCTTTTATACAAGAATGTAACAAAGAAAATAATGATCAAGAAAGGTTATCTGAGTTCAGAAGAGCATGATGAGAAAAACATATAAATAAACATCAGTACGTACATACTAAATATTAACAGAGCCCTTTCCCAGAACTTTCTTAGGACAGACCAATTTAACCACAATTGCCTGGCATGTACAATAAATTATATCCGGGAAAGCAAGAAAGCAAGGCAGAAGGCCATATCCAGAGATTCAGGGTACACTGACCAGATTTGGTTCTAGAGTCATGTTCTAACATCCAACAAGAATAAACAAGTCGGCCAGGCGGCAGTGGCACATGCCTTTAATCCCAGCACGTGGGAGGCAGAGCCAGGAGGATCTCTGTGAGTTCAAGGCCAGAGTGAGATCCAGTACAGACATCAAAACTACATAGAGAAACCCTGTCTCAAAAAAAACAACAAAAAAAAGCATGTCTTATAAATTAATATAAATGTTTGTCACGAGAGGTACAAAGTCACATCCAAGTACAATCCAGAGAACAAAATGCACCTGAGGTAAGAGACCCTCTGCCTTTTTTGCTGGAGCCTCTCTCACAGTTCTCCAAGGCATTGTTCACCATGCATCATTCTTTTGACCATGTTCTGACACATACCTGCCTTCCGATACAAACTCATAGACTCGTGTGGTTCATATACACACATGTCCCTTACTTATGATCATTACTTTTCTATTCTTTTCATCCTAAGGCTGGCCTAGAACTTGCAATCCTCCTGCCCTAGCCTCCTGAGCACGAGAATTACAAGTGTGTCCCACCACGATCAGACAGTTTAGGCCATATACTCTTACCTGCCTCTGTAATTTGTATACACTCACCCAAGCAATCCATGCCTTTACATAAGCTAAGCCGAGAGCATGTGGTTTGGTGACAGAGTGTGTGCTTAGCATGCAAGAAAGATTCCATTCCCAGCACAGAGCCATACACATGCATAGAGCTTTGTGAACGTTTCCTAGAGAGGCTAACAAATGTCTATTCACTCCAGATAGAACAATCAACAGCAGACCAAAGAAATGATTCCATTAAAGTATAGCTTGGTGACACAGTAAGTTTAATTCAGGTTATTTCCAGGAGCATGGCTGAAGGACTGGTTACTTACAGAAGCATGGGCAACTTAGAATTGACTACGCCACCAGAGAAAATGTCTCTCATTCTCCCTCACAAACCATTAACTGCTTATAGATCTTCAAAGAGGGGTGGAATTGCATGAGTGCCTCCTAGCAACCATTAACTATCTACAAATTCTCAGGACCCTGGTCTCACGAACCCCTCACCCATCACCAAAAGGTAATGGGCCCAATCTTGTGCAAATCTCTTGAGGATAAATGTGGCTGCAGAGAGGGTAAGAGTCATCAGTATTCCACAACACACACACAGGGACCACATCCATCAGGTGTTTCTTCTATCTTGTACCTGTCAACTGACCTAACCAATATACCCTCACTTTTATTCTATTTCTTACATGATTTAGCAACTCACACACCTTCACTTGGAGGGATTTCCCAGTCACCTTCCCTGCAAGCCCCACCCTTGTCTAGAGTTGATTCTCCAGTGCCAGACTACCCAGGCCCTGGGGTCCAGCCATTGGCCTCTGGCCTTGCCTCTCCACAGCCCATCAAACGGGACTTGATCCTGACCCCCAAGTGTGTGTATGTAATTGGGAGAGAGAAGGTCAAAAAGGGACCAGAGAAGGGTATGGTTCATGAAGTCCTGAAGAAGAAATTGGAGATCCAGGCCCTTCGAGGGGTATCCCTCAGGTAAGGTCAAGTCCCTGGAGCTCTCTTGTCCCTTCCTGCCACATTTACTAACCCCTACTTTCATATCTTCAACAAACTGTTTAATTACATTTTTATCTGGGCGGGGGGGGGGGGGGAACAGCACATCACATTGAGTGGTGGTCAGTGGAAAGTAATCCCACCATGTGGGCCTCAGGGAATGCAACTCAGGTCCGGCCCTACTTTCATGATCTCTGTGTGGAGACAATTTCTGTCTCTCTTCCTATCTGACCTCTGGTCCTTCCCAATTACCACCCTCCCGGGCTCTTCCTTCTCCCTTCCCCCAATTTGATCCTCACAGATTGGACCCTACAAGTTTTCCTGCACCCTCACTTGGCACTCTCCTGGCTTTCCCCCAGCACCAGACAGGATGACTTCTTCATCCTCCAAGAAGAGGCTGCCGACAGCTTCTTGGAAAGTATCTTCAAGACCGAATTCGTCAGCCTTCTGTGCAAGCGCTTTGAAGAGGCAGCGCGCAGGCCCCTGCCCCTCACCTTCAGCGACACGTATGCTCCTCAACCCACAGCCAATTCGAGCACCACTCTCAGCCCGGCCTATGCGCGGTGCTCCCGACCTACCGCAGGCACCCCGGCACGGGTTGGGTGTGGAAGAGGAACCCCCAACTGGAGCCCTCAAGCTCCCTTCTCTCCCCTAGACTACAGTTCCGGGTGAAGAAGGAAGGCTGGGGCGGAGGCAGTACCCGCAACGTCACCTTTTCTCGCGGGACAGGTGACTTGGCTGTGCTCAAAGCTGGGGGCCGAACTCTCACTGTAGGTATCGGAGACGGACTGCCTAAGAGCACCAGTAAGTCCACGGGAACCAGCGATGGGCATCGTGGGGGCGAGGCCTGTTGGGGCGTGGTTAATGAAGACCAATCAACTTTGTGGGGGTAGAGCTAGCCAGGGCCTCAAGGGTCAAGGTATAGAGGAAGATATCCCGCCTTAGAGAAATGACCAATGAGAGGGAGAAAACGTGAAGGGGCGTGGCCATAGGAGCAACCCTAAGCTATCAACAGATGGTGGGGCGTGTCCTGAAGTGAGAGAGCTCAAAGAGTAGGGAGGGTGAGGGGTAGGATCAGGAAGGATGGAATCCCCACCTGCAACTAACATAGTTGAACCAATAAGCATGAGCGAGGCATGGTCTCAAGCAGAACCAGTATGGAGAAATGTTGGAGAACCTAGTCCAAGGAACTGGTGTGGCCTGGCCACTACTCAAATCTATCCCTGCTTTCTTTCTTCTTTCAGAGCCTACACGGAAGGGGTTAGCCCAAGGAAGACCTCGAAGGTCAGCGCAGGCCCCTACTCGAGCAGCCCCTGGGCCCCCCAGAGGTGAGGAGGTAACTCTTGGTGACTTGTTGTGGACTTCAGAATCTAACAACAGTGGCTCAACTCACTATAGCTCTCCCATCTACCACAAGATGCAGGAGAAGCATAATTGGGAATATCTTTAAGATCTGACCTCTCCCACCATCCGGCACAATCCTAGCCTGTAAACTACGTTTTATTTAACCAACTCATCAAATTTATTCTTGCCCCTAGACCTTTGCTTAGACTTGCCATCCAAATCCCCACACCACTTAAACCCCAGTGGTAGAATGCTCGCTTAGCATGCAGAAAGCTCTGTAAATCTGGGTCTGTCAACTGCACAGCGAGTTTGAGGCCAAACTGGGCTACAAGAGACCCTGTCCAAAAATAGAGAGATAAACAGACAGACAGATACATACATATGTACATACATACATAGATACATAGATAGAAAGAAATTCAGACACAGTGTGGTGGTAAATACCTTTAATTCTAGGACTCAGGAGGCAAGGGCAGGTGGATTTCTGAAAATTCAAGGCCAGCTTGGTCTACATAGCCAGAGCCAGGCCAGCAAGGGCTATGCAGTGAAACCCTGAATCAAAGGAAGTAGGAGAGGAGGGGCAGGAAGAGGAAGAGAGAGAGAGAAGAAAGGAGGGGAGGAGGAAGAAGAGGGGGAGAAGATGAAGAAAGAAAGAAACCCACCAATTCCTCATCAAGAAAGGCTCTTGTTGCATAGCCTAGAGGCCTGAGTTCGATCCTCAGAACCCAAGTGAAGGTGGAAAGAGGGAACCAAGTCTGCAGAGCTGGCCTCAGACTTGCAAGTGAGTGCTGTGGCATGTGCCCCACACATACAATAATAATACATAAAGCCACCTACAAAGCCCTCCTATGAATATAACAGCATCTTACAAAGCTTTCCTTATAGATCCTCCTACCTCCAGGCTCTCTTAATTCAGACTGTCATTTTTTTTTCTTTATTTATTTTTTATTTTGGTGGTTTGGTTTGGTTTTCCTTTTGGTTTTTGGTTTTTGGAGATAGGGTTTCTTTGTGTAGCCCTGGCTGGACTTGAACTCAGAGATTCACCTGCCTTTGCCTCCCAAAGTGCTGGGATTAAAGGTGTGTGCCACCACCATCTGCCTCCTGTTTTTGTTTTTGAGAAAGGATCTTGATATGTAGCCTGGAACTTACAAAGATCTACCTTGCTTCTGCTTCCCCAAATTCTGGGGTTAAATGCATCACCATGTTTCATTGTTGTTGTTTTGTTTTGTTTTGTTTTGTTTTTTGAGACAGGGTCTCTCTAAGTGGTCCTGGCTAGCCTGGCACTCTGTGAAGAGATCCACCTGCCTCTGCTTCCCCAAGTGCTGGGGTTAAATGCATCACCATGTTTCATTGTTGTTGTTTTGTTTTGTATTGTTTTTTGAGACAGGGTCTCTCTAAGTGGTCCTGGCTAGCCTGGCACTCTGTGAAGAGATCCACCTGCCTCTGCTTCCCCAAGTGCTGGGGTTAAATGCATCACCATGTTTTTGGTTTTGAGACAAGGTCACTCTATGTGGTCCTGGCTGGCAGGACCTCTGGAACTTACAGACATCCACCTGCCTCTTCCTCCCCAGGTGCTGGGGTTAAAGGCGAGCATCACCACTCCTAGTCCTCAGACACATTTCTGACTATACTGGTTGCGAGTGGCTGCATCTTCTGTCAGGCTCAGAACTTAGAGCTAACTCCTCAAACGTTCACAGCCACTCATGACAGATGTTTCTATCTTTGCTTCCATCATAGGTATGAATCGAAATGGGGTACCACCCTCTTCCAGGGCAGGGCCCCTACCCCTGGAGATCACATCTGGAAGGAGTTCCCAGAGGCCTCCCCGGGGCCCTCCATCCTCAACCCTAGGAGCCAGCAGACGTCCCCGGGCACGGCCACCTTCAGAGCACAACACAGAATTCCTCAATGTGCCTGACCAGGGTGTGGCAGGGTAGGTGGGAAGGGGTGGAGGGCACAGCCCCATGAGGTGGTCAGGGGATAGAGGAGTATCTATCTAGGGTTATAATGAGACCCACGCTATCCCCTACAGCATGCAAAGGAAGAGAAGCATAGGGCAGAGACCTGTGCCAGGTGTGGGCCGGCCCAAGCCCCAACCACGGATCCATGGCCCGAGGTGCCGAGCACTGTACCAATACATAGGCCAAGATGTGGATGAGCTGAGCTTCAATGTGAATGAAGTAATTGAGATTCTCATGGAAGGTTTGTATTCCAGGGCAGAGGTTGAGAGTGGGGAGTGTTCACCCTGACACAGTGAGGCAGCTACACATTACTGCATAGCCTTCCCATTCATGCAAGAACAAGGGGGCAAGAGTCATTGAGATGGCCCAGTAGGTAAAGGTCATTGCCACCAAACCTAATGACCTGAGTTCCATCCCCAGGACTCTCACAGTGGAGGGAGAGAATGGCCTCTGACCTACACACACGCACACGCACACATACATACACACATGCACAAGACTGAGGAGATGGTTCCTTGGTTAAAGCTCTTGCCTTGAAAACATGAGGACCAGAGTTCTGATTTCCAGATACCAGAAAATGCTGAGTAGGTGTGGTAGTCTATCTGTAATTCCAGACTCCAAAGACAGAGACAGGTTCCCCAGAGCAAGCTGGCTGGCAAGCCTAGCTGTATCATCGAGCTCTGGTTCTGACTGAGAGATTCTGCCTCATTGAATAAGGTGGATGAGCAGAAGGGGATGACAATGTAGGGTCTCCTCATGCACACACACCCACATGCATGGGCACCTACACACATGCAAAAACATACAACACAGAGGTGCATACCATGCACACACATTATGGGAAAAGAGTGTAATTTTAAAAAAACTTAAAGCTGAGTGCAGTGGTGCACACTCATAAAAATAAATAAATAAGCAGATGGGGTATCCAGCTCACAGCCTCACCAGAGCTACATAATCTAGATAAACTAGTCTCTGAACATCACCTCCTAAAGCACCTAGGGCTTTGGCCTCATTTCTTCACACCTCATACCTGAGCTTTTTTATTATTTTATTTTATTTTGAGACAAAGTCATGCTATATTGCCTTTGAACTCACTAAGGATAGCCTCCCTCAGCCTCCTGTGATAGGGAAGCACCACCATGCCAGGCTGTAGCCTTATTATTGTCAGTAACAACTGACTTTACAAATCCTTGTGAGTAGGAAGGAAGCTGAGTCTGGATGGCCCTGCCCAATTCCTACCTTCATCATCTGGGATGACTCCAGAAGGGCTGTAGACTCATCACACACTCCAGAAGTGGATAGCAGGGCCTCCTGGATGTCATGGATATTCCTGACTGCACCTGGGGGTTGAAGGAGGGCATCTATAGAAGGAGGTGGTTGGATAGAAGAGTGCAAGCAAATCATCTGGAGTATGAGTGTAGACAGAGACTGAGTGTAGATCAGTGGTGCAGCATTTGCCTCACATGCATGAGGTTCTGGGTTCATCCTCAATGTCAGGGAGAGATGAGGGAGAGGATGGAAGGGTAGGAGAGAGAGAAGTCTGGTGCTGGGGATATGGTTCAGTCAGTAAGCTGCTCAGCAATAGAACACTTGCCTAGCATGTACAACAGCCTGGATTCAATCCCCAATGCTCTACCTCCAGATCTAAATGCTGATAGCCATACATAATGGCACATACATATAATCCTAGAACTTCAGAGGCTGAGGAAGGAGGATGGAGAGTATAAAGCCAAGCTGGGCTACTCAGGGAGACAGAACCAGTCTCCAAACAAAACAGAAGTGAGTGTGATTGCTTATGCCTATAATCACAGTCCTCAGGAAACAGAGGCAGGAGGATAAAGAGTCCAAGGATAACCTCAGCAACATAGCACACACATGCACATGTCTTCATCTGTATGTGTATGTATCTATGAGTATGTGTGCATGGGCACGTGTCTGTATGTGTGCATGTGTGTGGATGCACACATGTGCATTCCCATGTTTTACGAAGGTGCACATGTGTGATGGTGTGCACATAGAGGTGAGAGGGCAACTTAGAGTGTCAGTCCTTACCTTCCACCTTGTTTGAGACAGCATCTTTTGTTGCCCACTACCATATATGCCAGGCTAGCTGACCCAAGAGCGTTGCTGTTTGTTTTTGTTATTTTGGGGGGCTCACCACCCAGCTCCCAAATAAATCACACAGGCGCTTATTCTTAATTATAAATGCCCAGTCTTAGCTTGGCTTCTTTCTTTCTTTCTTTCTTTCTTTCTTTCTTTCTTTCTTTCTTTCTTTCTTTTAATTTTTTTCCCTTTCTCTTTTTTTAAATTTACTTATTTTGTTTCATGTACATTGGTGTTTTGCCTGAATGTATCTCTGTGTGAGGACGTCAGATCCCCTGGAACTGGAGTTACAGACAGTTGTTAGCTGCCATGTGGGTGCTGGGAATTGAACCTGGGTCCTCTGGAAGAGCAGTCAATGCTCTTAACCACCGAGCCATCTCTCCAGCCCAAGCTTGGTTTATTTCTTGCCAGCTTTCTTTAACTTAAATTATCCTGTCTACCTTTTGCCTCTGGGCATTTCCCATTCTCTTATTTCTGTTAATCTTACTCTTACTCAGTGGTTTGCTATGTAGCTGGGTGGCTGGCCCCTGGGGACCTCCTCCTTCTCTGGCTACTTCTTTTTCCCTCCCAGATTTCTCTTTCTATATATTCTCTCTGCCTGCCAGCCCTGCCTATACTTTCTCCTGCCTTGCTATTAGCTGTTCAGTTCTTTATTAGACCATCAGGTGTTTTAGACAGACACAGTAACACAACTTCACAGAGTCAAACAAATGCAACATAACAAAAGTAACACATCTCAAAAATAATATTCCCCAACACAAGAGTTTCCAGGGATTCTCCTATCTCTACCTTCTGTTTCACCATAGAGCTGGAATAACAGATGTGTCATATACCACTGTATCCAGCTTTCATGGGTTCTGAGAAACTAAACCCAGGTCCTCACACATGTATAACAAGTACTTTCTCCACTAAGCTATCTCCCCAGTCCCATGTATAGTGTGTTTGAAGACAGCCAGAGCCATACAATACCATGTCTCCAAAGCAAACAAAATATCCAAGATGAATATAAGACAGACACAGAGTAAGCATGCATGCTTTCTCCAGTGTACACTGGGCACCTCAAGCTCTTCTCTCCCATAGATTCCTCTGGCTGGTGGAAGGGCCGGCTGCATGGCCAGGAAGGTCTCTTCCCAGGAAACTATGTGGAGAAGATCTGATTGTCCATCCACCTTCCTGCCTGCTTGGCTGCCAGGGAGCCAAGCCCTGCAACTTGAAGCTTTGATTACCCTGGCTGCACTGGCCAGAATACTCAGGCCTATGGTCTCTAGCCCATTGAGGGCCCTGTGTGGAAAAGATCACCACTGTCACACCCCATGCCTGGTGCTTGACTCCCATGGGTTGAATCGCTGTCCAAGTCTCCATTTCATCATGTGTCCGATAGGATTTGCTGCAGAACCTACCTCCCAGCTGCTTTGTGTGTATGAAATGAATCAAATCCTGCCCTGTTAGCAAAGTGCTGTGCACATTCCAGGGTTAGGGGACTTTGACAATTTGGCCTTTCTACCTTTCTCTCATCACTGAGGCAATAAATGTGTCAGGTAAAAGCAAGGAGTAAATTACTGAGTTCTGGGGCTGGGGATGTGGCTTATTTGGTAGAGTGCTTGCCTCTCAAGCATGTGGCCCTGGGTTTCATCAGGACCACATAAAATTGGGCATGGTGGTGCATGACTGTGATCTCAGTACTCAAAAGATGGTGACAGGGAGATTAAGAGTTCAATGTCAGTCTTGACTAGCTTATTTTTAAAAACTTTTAAAATATTTATTGATTTGTGTATGTGTGTGTGTGTGTGTGTGTGTGTGTGTAGGTCTAAGGACAACTTTGTGAAGTTAGTTCTCTCCTTCTACCGTGCAGATTCCAGGAATCAAACTCAGGTCATCAAGCTTGGTGGTTAGGACCTTAGCCCACTAAGCCATCTCATCAGGCCCTACATAGCTGATTTTGAGGATGTTCCAGGCTTCATAAGATCCTTTTGGGGGGTGAAGGGAAGGCTATCCGGAAAAGCTCATCTAGTCCTTTCCCTTCTGCATTTGCCTTAGGAAACCAAGCTTGGCTGGTAAAACAAGCACAAGGGTGCAGCTGGGCCTCATCAGGCCTCTTGTTGGCTAATCATTCTGCAAAAGCATTTAACTATCCTTGAGTGTGGCTAGACCATTCCATCTCTGAGCTCTTTTACACTCCAGTTTAGGAGCACTTGCTTAGCATGGGGTTAATCCCAGCACTAAGAGACAAAGGGAGTGAAGGAGGAAAGGGAGGGAGAGAGAGAGAGGGAGAGAGAGACAGAGAGAGAGAGACTGACTTACTGTGTAGACCAGGCTAGCCTTGAATTTCTGCAGCTCTGTCTGCCTTTACTTCCCAAGTGCTAGAATTAAAGATGTGTATCCTCTGCCTGGTTTCAAAAAATAGATTAAAAATTAAGATTTATTTATTTTAAATATTTTTTTGAGATTATAAAATAATTACATCACTTTCCCCTTCCTAAATATATAATTACAACCTGCTCAGTCTATAATGTCACTTGTATGTGTGTGTTTTCAGGGGTTCATATCTGGTATTGGATAACCAATGGAGTGCTCTTCCCTGGGGAAGACTATTTCTCCTGTCTCAGCGTTCCTCAGTTGCCTGTAATTCTTTATCTAGGGTTGAGGCCTCATGAGCCCCTCGCCCCAAAAATAGCTTTGATGAAAGAAGAGGATCAGTGAAATGGCTAGAAGGCCAATGAGCTTGCTGTTCACTCCTGGCAACCTGAGTTCCAACCCCAGACCCGACATAAAGGTAGAATGAGAGAATTGACTATGCAAAGTTTTCCTTTTTTGAGTGCCCCTCCTGCTAATAAGAAATAAGGGCGGGGCTGGAGAGATGGCTCAGGGGTTAAGAGCATTGACTGCTTCTCAGAAGGACCCAGGTTCAATTCCCAGCACCCATATAATAGCTCCCAACTGTCTGTAGCTCCAGTTCCAGAGGATACAGACATACATGTAGGCAAAACACCAATGCACATAAAATAAAAATAAATAAATCTTTAAAAAAAAAAAAGAAATAAGGGACTGGAGAGATCAATCAGTGGTTAAGAGCACTAACTGCTCTTGTAGAGGACCAACGTTTGATTCCCAGTGCCCACAAGGTGACTCACAATCATCCATAACTCCAGTCTCAGGGTATCCAACACCTTCTTCTGGCCTCCCTGAGCACCAGGCACACATGGGGTATACGTGTACACATGTAGGCAAAGTACTTATATACATAAATAAAAATAAATAAATATTTAAAATAATAATTATAGTACATAAATTGTTTAAGGCCAGTGAAATTCAGCAAGTAGAGGTGCTTCCTACTAAGACTGACAACATGGGTTCCACGCCAAGGACCCAAACGATGGGAGAAGAGAACTATTTCCTACTAGCTGTCCTCTGACCTCCATATGCATAACATGGTACATGTTTGTGTATACACACATAGCAAAAAAAATTAATTTAATTGCAATTTTTAAGTAAATAAATTTCCATTACCCCCCCCCCAAAAGTAAAAGGTTGGGGAAATAGCTCAGTTGGTAGTGTTTGCTTAGCATGCATGGAGGCCTGGGTTCCAACCCAGCACTGAAATGGAAGGAGGGAAGAGACAGGTACAGAGAAAGGAAAGGAAACAGAAGAGAAGAAGAAAAACAAGGTTGAGGAAAGTAGCTCAGAGACAGAGTGCTTTCCTAGCATGTACAAAGTCCTGGGTTCCATCTCCAGCACTGCATAAACCAGGTATTGGTTGGTGCATACCCATCATCCTGTGAAGGTCTACCCTTGATTTTACAGGCTCCATCTTAGGGTAAAGGGCCACCATCTCAGACTACCTGCTGTACTCAGTTCTAGGAAGGACCTCAGGAATGTGCCATGACAACTCGAACGGATATAGAACAATATCCTCCTGTAGACATCCTGTCTGCGGTTTATGGCCCTTGAAGATATCTAGACAATCCTGCTGAGCAGTCCAGATAATCCTGTTCAGCAGGTTGTGGTTCCCCACTAAAAGTCTAACCCAATGGTTTCAAATGTGGTTTCACATCCAAAGTCTAGACCAATAGTTTCAAAAAAATCACCTTGCCCCATATCCCTTCTACCCAATCCCAAGTTGCCAACCTGCTTGTGGTTTTTCCCTATAAAAACTCTCTACATCTGGGCTCGTGGCTGCAGCCACATTTCCTTCTATCTGCCATGTGGTGGCCCAGGTTGAACCTGAATAAAAGGATCTTTATGTGCTTGCATCGGAAACTGGCTCCTTGGTGGTTTCTGGGGATTTCGAGAAATGGGTACAACAATCCCAGCACTCAGAGGGTGAAAGCAGAAGAATTAGGAGTGCAAAGTCATCCTTGGTTACAAAGCAACTCTGAGGCCAGCCTGGGCTACACAAAAGAAAGGAAGAGGGGGATGGGGAGGAAGAGAGGCAGAAGGGGTTTCCATTCTTTCCCTTCAAACTCACTATGCAGATTGCTCTCCCCTCCTAGCACTTTGGGGGTATAGTCCCCTGGCTCCACTGGCATGGAGGATACCCCACTTACAAGAAGTAAGGCTTCTGAGCACAGTGGATGGTTAAATGTTGGGCAGGGTGCTGGGATTGGAGAAAAAAAAGTGGGGCTTGATATATTCTAAAGGACAGCTTTGCATATTTAGGTTAGGGACAGCTCCAGACTGTTAACCACTGTCACCTCAGACCTACCCAGTCCTCAGCTCCCACATCCTGTGGGCTCTTTCACAAAACTTCTTACATCCGGCCCCTCCTCCCCCTTCCTTGTGGCCCTATTCTTTCCTCAGCCTCACCCTATCCTTCCTTCCCCAGCACAAACACATCTCTCTACCTTGCAACAAAAAGAGGCTGAGGCTCTAGGCCAGTTGGTTAAGTGCTTGGCTAAATACACAAAAGTTGGGTACCCAGTATGGTATACAGGAAATGTGCTATATACCTTCAATCCCAGCACTCTGGATGTGGAGGCAGGAGGATGAAAAATTCAAAGTTATCCTTGACTACATATTTGAGAGTTTTATACAACATATTTTGAACATATTCACCACCTCCACCCAGCTTCTCCCATAACCACCCTCCCATCCATTCCAAATAAACCTTAACATTTCTTTCTGTCTTTCTTTTTTTGAATTTCTCCATTGAATGTAGTTTGTGTTGCCCCTTTATTCTTAGAAATGGGACCTGCCTTGGTGTGTGGTCAACCTACCAGGGGTCACTGTTTCCTTGATGTTATCTTTGATCTCTGATTCCTACACTCTTTCTGATATTTCTTCTGAGAAGATGATCCCTGGAGGGAGAGGTGTAATATATAGGTGCCAATTAGAACTGAGCATTCAACAGTCTCTTATTCTCTGTATGTTGACCAATTAGGGAGATCCTGTCTGGTTGTTTTTGTTTTCAAAAAAATTTAAGTATATTTATTTTATTTTAGGTATATGGGATGTTGAACCATCTCTCCAGCCCCCAGCCCCTCTTTTAAAAAAGATCTTACTAGGCACACATGGTGACACATCTTTGATCCCAACACTAAAGAATCTGCAGAAGGCTGGGCATGCACTTTCAATCTCTGCGCTGTGCTACATCCTTGGGCCTCCTCTTCAATTTGTTGGGAGGTATTGTTTGGGGATTTCTTGTTTGTTTGTTTATGAGATACTATACTACTATGTAGACCTGGGTAGCTTGGAACTTTTATGTAGAGCAGGCTGGCCTTTTCACAGAGATTAGACTGCTTCTACCTCCCAAATACTGGGATTAAAGATTAAACATTCCTGGCTTGTTTTAGTTTTTTGAGACAGGGTCTCATGTGGTACAGGCTAGTATTGAATTCTATTTATAGCTGAAGATGACCTTGAAGTCCTGACTTTCCTGCCTGCACCTCCCAGTGCTGGGATGACAAGTGTACTACCACAGATGGTTTATGTGGTTCTAGGGACCAAAACTATGGCTTTGTGCATGTTATGTGAGCAGTCTACTAAGTGGCACCCCCAGCCCCTCTTTCTCAGTTTTAATTTAATTATTTATTTATGCATATGTATGTATCTGTGTGAGTACAAGTGCCAGCAGAAGACGACATCCAAGTCCCAGGAACTGGAGTTATAGATATTTGTGAGCAGCCATGTAAACTAAGGTCCTCTGCAAGAGTTCAACCTCTGAGCCATCTCTCCAGCCCCCATCTTTCTCAGTTTCTAAATGTCTTCTATCTTCTTTGCCTATAGTGGCACATGTAGACTCTTGGTTTACCTAAAAATACATTGCATATAAAGTCTACAGTTGCTTGACTCAATAAGCATCTTTTGAAAGGTTGAATGTATAGAGATCTGAGATCTAAGTTCTACTTTACCATCTATCCCAAAGTCTATCCTCCAAATGATCACCAGAAAGAGATGCTGTACCTTCCCCAATATAACTAGCTGTTCTATCCTGCAGAGAAGCTCCTTAAGCCAGAAGGTCAACAATTCAAAGTAGCTTCAGGAAGTCCCTGAAACTGACCAGATTCACCAGGCACCCCCCTGCCAGAGTAAACAATAGGTTGCTGAGAGTTACTTTCAGAAAAACCAATCTGCAAATAAGACTCAGATCCACCCAGCAGCCTGGAAGAAGTTCAGATTAACTCAGTCACTTGGAAAGGACATTCTCCAACCTGTTGAGCTGCCTGCAGGCTATGCAGTGTGCTCCAGGTTCCCAATTTTGTGAGCTGTCACACATTAAAGGGTGGGTGTTGGTGATGCAGTTGTCATTGAGTCATTTCTGCTTCTGTAAGTAACCCCAATAAAACTCTTGGATCACCAAGGTGGGCTCCCTATCTAAGGTGAGTAAACGTGTTTGTGTCTCCCTAGAAAAGTATTGTCATACAATAGCATCTACTACAGAAGCATGAGGCCCTGAGTTCAGATCCCAAGATACTAGGTAAATGCCAGGTAGGTAATATGGCCCTCCTGTAATTTCAGCCTCACATGGTGGAGACAGAGGATCGATCCCCAGAGCAAGACTAGCCATATTGGTGAGATCTGGGTTTTATTGAGATGTTCTGGCTCATTGAACAAGGACGAAGAGTCATGGAGGATTATTCCCAATATCAACCTCCAGCCTCCACATGCACAAGCAACCAGGTACACATGTACCCACATGAAAACCCTCCACAAACATGTATGCACATATACATGCACCACACATATGAAAATGGAAAAATAAATATTCATCAGTGACAACATCAGAAGCCATGTTTTCTCTCTCACATATGGCCTACAGGACCCATCCAAGTTCGCTTTCTGACCTCCACGTTACTTCATTCTGTTTCCATATGGCAGAGATCTCCTAACTGTTGCTCATCAAAGGGAAACTTGTTTCTTGCCAGCTCAGTTTATCTGTGTCAGCTTCCCATAGTACTCTGTTTCCCCAGGCATCAAGGCACAGCTCAAGTCACTCCTTCAGACAGGCTTCCCTGACACATCATTTCCACAGCACTTTGTTTGCTTTCTTATCTCACAGGCTAGATCCAAGATCATTTCTCTGCTGTCCTTGATTTATTGTCACTCCAGTTTCAGTGGTTGACTCCAGTCTTCTAGGAGCAGTACTAAGTCCCTGCCTGGCACTTAGTATGAACTTAAGGGAAGTAAGATGGGCAGGAAACCTCACTGCACTGCACCAATACACTTAGGATTCATGTTCAAACTTTGCTACTTGTGGGATTTACCTGTTCACTAAACCTAAAGGTTCACAGTTAGGGTGGTTCCAAAATTGGGCTACTACAACAGATTCATTCTTTTTTTTTTCCTTTTTTTTACATTTATTTGTATTTTATGTACATTGGTGTTTTGCCCACATGTATATCTGTGTGAGGGTGTTGGATCCCCTGGAACAGGAGTTACAGACAGTTGTGAGCAGCCATGTGGGTGCTGGAAATTGAACTGGGGTCCTCTAGAAGAGCAGCAGTGCTCTTTACCATTGAGTCATCTCTCCAGCCCTAACACATTCATTCTTACTGCACACTGGATGCGCTGAAAATATGGAGCTTGCTAGGAAGATGGCTCTGTGCAGACACAAGGGAACAGGGTTCAGACCCACAGCATTGTAAATGAGGAAGAGTTTGGATCCCTGGCACTCCTTGGGTGGGAGACACAGCAGCTAGCTACCTGTAATTGGGGCACTTGGGAGATGGACACAGAGAATCTTCTGGCAAGCTAGACTAGTGGGTGAGGTCCAGCTTCAGTGAGAGACGTTGCCTCAGGAAATTAAGTGGAGAGCAACTGAGGAAGACAGTGTTTATTTTGGGCCTCCACATTCACCTGCTCACATCTGTGCACACATACATTCACTTGCATATGTATATGTATATTACTAAGGATGTAGCTTAGTTTGTAGAGTGTTTGCCTAGCATGCATGAAAACTCTGGGTTCGATACCTAGTATCGCCTAAAACCTGGTGTGGTAGCATCCAAGTTCAAGGTCAACCTCTGTGTAAGAACAGACTGTCAATTTCCAGTTAAAAGTAAGCCCAATCATAAGCATAGAGTGTGGAAACACTCCTCTGTCATCTGAGTACTTGCAGGCTGAGGAGGGAAGACTTAAGAGTTAGAGGTCAACCTGACCTAGTATACAAAAAGAAAAAGTGCCTTTTTGCCTTTCCAGAGTTGGTTATGAGGCCTGCAGGAAAAGGATGGAGGTGCCCATTTTGCAGACAAGGACGCTAAGGCCTGGAGAGATTTCTCATGTAGGATCTTTGCCTTCTGCTTTTGCAATTACGCTTACAAACTCTCACCTGCCTAAGAACAGCAGCCAAACCTCAGTCCCCTCCTCCTAGAGAAGCGCCCAGGATTAGGCCACACCCCAGATCTCGCGAGATCTGAGAAGCGGAAAAAATGGCGCCGACGTGATCGAGAGCCCACGTCGCCAAGGAAGTCTCCCCTGCTGCAGCCGGAGTCATCGAAGGCACGGGAACCAGAGGTCGAACTGAGTGGAGGATGGTGAGCGCGGCACCCGGCACGCGGGCGCGGAGAAGCAGTGGGTATTGACAGGGAGCGGTCCTGAGGCGCGCACCCCCTCCAGCCGACCCCGCCCCCACATCCGGGTTCCCGCCCGCCGCTGTCACTTAGCGAGCGGTCTGCCCCTTCATTTAGGCCTGGCTTTGCTTGGGCCACGCCCACTCTGCTCGAGTTCAGCCCCTAAACTTAACACATCCTGGCCCTGAGCATCTCTGAGATCGTCTGTCGGCACAGCTCTAGTTCGGCCAGCATTCCCCATCATCACACAATCCACTCTAGGCCTTGAGGCATTTTCCAAGTTGCTCCCAGGCCGGACCCTCGCCCTCTCCCCTAGGCCACGCCTTCACCCCGTGGTGCCTCCGCCCAAAGGTAAAGAAGAAGGGATGTTGATGATGATGCTCTTTTATGCATAATCCCTTATATATACTTCCTTCTGCAGTTGGAATTAGGAGACAGCTCAGTCTGCCCTTATCTCCCTTAAAGCATCTTTCTGGTGACTCTGAAAGTGAGATGGTTGGGTAATATCTGGTGGGAGTGGGAAGGAGTTAGAAACCCTGAGTCTTGTGGACCTTTGAAGTGGAAAGACTTCCCTCTGTCCTAGGCACACTCTGATCCCAGCCTTATTCTAGCCTCTTATTGCACCAGGAGGAACCGTCCAAGCCCAGTCCGGACATGCTAGCCACTGCAGAGTCCAGCTCCAGTGAGCCCGACAAGGAGGTGGTGTCTCCAGATGTGGCAGCTACAGCCACTTTCTCTTCTGTGGGGGAGCCTGGCCCTAACCCGACAGCCATACCACCAGTGTGGGACCGTGGAGGACCTCCGCAGCAGGTTGCTTCCCCAGCCGTAGACAGCTGCCAGCCTGGCTCAGCCAGCACAGATGTGGGGACCAATGAGGACCAGAGGTTTCCCAGACGACGTCCTCCACCAGGTGATCTGTGATGGGGCCTTCATAGGTCCTTTGATAGGACTGAGATGGTGCAGTCTAGGGGAATTCCTCACCATTTACTGAGGATCAAGTCTATGTCAGGTGTAACAACCAAACCTATTCAGCCTTTCCAGGCAATTTATTCTAGCAGTGGGGAGGAGGTCTGTAAGGAAAAATTGATGATACCCATTTATCTTGCAGGGAAACAGATACCCTGCTCTAGCCCTGGCTGCTGCCTCAGTTTCCCCAGCATTCGTGATCTGGCACAGCATCTCCGTACCCACTGCCCGCCCACACAGTCACTGGAAGGTAGGATGAGGGCTGGTGGTAGTGAGGAAGGTTAGGGTGGAAGACAGAGCCCCCCAGGGTCAGTCTTAACCATCCCACTCCACACCTGCCCTTCATCCCTACCAGGCAAACTCTTCCGATGCTCAGCCCTGAGCTGCACTGAGAGTTTCCCCAGCATGCAGGAGCTGGTAGCCCACGGCAAGCTGCATTACAAGCCCAACCGCTACTTCAAGTGAGGCCCTGACCTTCCCCTCTATTGATTCCAGATCTTTAGCCCCTTCCTAGTGTGTGTGGAGGAGGGGTGGGTTCGGAATATAAGCATGGCCTGGGAAACCAGCCCCAGCAGTGCATGGAAGACCGATGTGAATAGGAGTAAGTCACTCTGGCTGAAGGCTCAGCTGAAGCAGCACTTCTTAATGGTAAACTGGCCACCAAAGTAAAATCGAAGCTTGAGGCACCGAGCTGGAGAGGTCAGGAAGGATTAAGACTTCAGTAAGGGAGAGTGTGTAGGGCAAGCTCCTTTATTTGGGCACAGAGTTACAGAGATTTCAACCTAGATACCCTTCTCATATCCTGATCCCTGGGTAGCAATGGATAGGCCCCTTCCTGTTGCCCAGGAGATAGTCCAGCCCTGTGCCTACCCCCAGGTGTGAGAATTGTCTCCTGCGCTTCCGTACTCACCGATCGCTCTTCAAGCATCTGCATGTTTGTGCAGAGCATGCTCAGAGCCCAGCCCCGCCACCACCCCCTGCCCTGGACAAAGAGCCACCTGTGCCCGAGCGCCCCCCAGAATCCGACCCTTCGTCTACTCTGAGCCTGCCATTCCCACTACTTGAGCCTTTCACCTCTGCCCCCACTGGGCCGTTCCTTCCCTACTTGAACCCTGCGCCCTTTGGCCTGAGTCCCCCGCGACTGCGCCCATTCCTGGCTGCTGCTCCAGGACCACCAGCCTCCAGCACTGCCATCTGGAAAAAGAGTCAAGGTGAGTATGGGAGCCAGTTGCCTGCAAAGCTGGTTGGGCCTATCCCTATTCTGAACTTGACCTATCTTTTTCCTGAAGGTGCTGCTGGAAGTCCCAGAAGACCTCAGGGTGGCTCCGATGCGCCCTCAGGTGGGTGCAGGTGACCACCAAGGCAGGGTGGAGGGGCCTTTATTCCTATGTCCTGCGCGGGCCCTGTGAATGCTTGGAAGCAGCAGTGCCTATCCTTTAAAATACATGATTTTTACCTTTAAAAAGACTGGCACCTATGCCTTCATCTGCGCCGGCGTTCCTGTGTAAAACTTGCGCCTTGTCCATATCTGAGTGATCCTTTCCTGTGGAGGTCCAGGGATGGGAATCAAACTGGTGCCTTCAGTGATGGGCAGTCAAACCCAGGAGAAAGGATCCAGCCTCCCTGGACCCTGGAAGCTGAGGGGGATGGACATAGGGAAAAGTCTCATCTGCCTTGGTCAACATCCACCATCCCTGGTGGAAAGGTCCTCTGGGGTGAAACCGGGGACTAACCGTGGCCTGCCTGCCTGCCTGCAGGGTACGTGGCCCCCAGCCGCATCGTGTGGGAACACACGCGTGGCCGTTACTCGTGCATGCAGTGCGACTTCTCCACGGCCTCACGGCCCGCCATGACACTACACCTCCAGGACCACCGCCCCGGCGCCCCCACAGCCCTGGCGCCTGGGTCCCTTCGTGCCGAAACCCAGGCGAGTAAGGCTGAGGAATGCTCAGGCATGGAGCTAGAGGCAAGGGGTGAGGCCCAAGCTCAGCTGTCCCCTCCTCAACTCCACAAAAACCCAACCTCATTTGCTCCTGGGGTGTCACAACTGTCAGAGGGGGAGCGTCCCATTTTCTCACAGCTTTGAACCAGCTGTGTTGGGCTGGGTGGACGGGCCTGCAGAGATTTTTGTAATTTGAGGAGGGAGGGGACAATAAAAGAGGCAAGATGAGCCAGCCTGCGCTGTGTCTTGGGTCCCTTGCCCCTCAGATAAGATTTTACTTTTATGTTTTTATTTTATGTGTGTTTGTGTATACACATGAATGCAATGCTCATGGAGGTCAGAAAAGGGTATGAGATTCCCAGGCTCTTATGAGCTGCCAACATGAGTGCTGGGAACCAAATATGAGTCTCCTGCAAGAGCAGAACGAAGGTGAGCTCTTAACCACTGAGCCCTCTCCTGCCCTTCCCTTAAATAAGCAGTAGGCGGCCACCTACTGGGTCTAGGGTGCTCACACACCATATGAGGGGGACTTAGAATTAGCTTCACAGGACCTGACCCCCCTCAGCACTCCTGTCACTGTCTACCTGGCACCTCAGCCCTGGAATCCAGGTCTCCACCTCAGTGCCACCCTAGTCAGTTATAGGTAGTGACAGTGCCCACCATTCTGTTCCACAACTTCCAGAAACCAGATAGAATTTTTCAGGTGTTTTTCCTTTACTGAAAAACAAAAACAGACAGAAGCAGGCAGATCTCTGTGAGTTTGAGGCCAGACTGATCTACAGAGCCAAGGCTGCATAGAGAAACTGTCTCAAAAAATAGTAACAAAAAGCGGGACCAGTAAGATCATGTTCAGGTGCTTGCCCATGCAACCCTGATGACCTGAGTTTGATCCCAGAACCCTTAGTGGGGTGGGAAAAAAAATCAACTCTCTATAGTTGTCCTCCCAAAGCATAGTGGCATACACCTTTAATCCCAGCACTTGGCAGGCAGAGGCAGGTAGATCTCTTTAAGTTCAAGGCTTGATCTAAGGGGCAAGTTCCAGCCAGGCTGTACAGTAAAACACTGTCAGGAAAAAAAGCCCCAAGGCATGGTGGTACATCAAAGCACTTGGGAAGCAGACCTGCGAGAATCACTTCTTTAACTTCAAGGCCAACTTGGGCTACATAGCAAGACCATCTCAGAAATTTTTTTTTTTTTTGGGGGGGAGAATTTTCCAAGACAGGGTTTCTCTGTGCCTGTCAGGATCTCGCTCTGTAGACCACACTGGCCTTGAACTCAGAGATCGGCCTGTCTCTCTGCCTCACTAGTTCTTGGTTTTAAGGGCGTGTGCCACCCCCACCTCCCCACCCCACCCCCCACCCCTGGCTTAAAGAGACTTTGAATTTTTTTTGTTTGTTTGTTTTTGTTTTTCGAGACAGGGTTTCTCTGTGTAGCTTTGCGCCTTTCCTGGAACTCACTCTGTAGTCAATGATGGCCTTGAACTCATAGAGATCCACCCGCCTTTGCCTCCCGAGTGCTGCGATCAAAGGCATGCGCCGCTGCCGCGCTGCCACTGTCAACCACCACCCGGCTTGTTTTCTTTCTTTTTTTTTTTTTTTTTTTTTGGTTTTTTGAGACAGGGTTTCTCTGTGTAGCTTTGCGCCTTTCCTGGAACTCGCTTTGGAGACCAGGCTGGCCTCGAACTCACAGAGATCCGCCTGGCTCTGCCTCCCGAGTGCTGGGATTAAAGGCATGCGACACCACCACCCGGCTTGTTTTCTTTTTTAAGCATCAAGAATTAGGAAGGCGCCGGCGGTGGTGGTGCATGCCTTTAATCCCAGCACTCAGGAGGCAGAGCCAGGTGGATCTCTGTGAGTTCGAGGCCAGCCTGGTCTCCAAAGCGAGTTCCTGGAAAGGCGCAAAGCTACACAGAGAAACCCTGTCTCAAAACAGAAAAAACAAAAACAAAAACAAAAAAACAAACAAAAAAAAAAGAATTAGGAAGGCGATGGGCAGTGGTGGTGCACACCTTTGATCCCAGCACTCAGGAGGCAGAGCCAGGTGGATCTCTGTGAGTTCAAGGCCAGCCTTGGCTACAGAGTGAGTTCCAGGAAAGGCACAAAGCTACACAGAGAAACCCTGTCTTGAAAAACTAAAAAAAAAAAAAAAAAAAAAAGAGGAAGGCAGTGTGGGAAGCTAGATCTAAGTAAGCTCTGAGCTGTTGTGGATAGAGCCCCAATTCTGAGGACAAAGGGTTCACAGGGGAAAGTAACGCCTTGGTGGCTATAGTTGAGGGGTGGGCAGGACAGGATGGAGAACTAAACTTAATCTTCATCCTTTCAGTCTGCAGATCCTCTTCTGCTGCTGGCTTCTGCCCCAGCCCCAGTTCTGGAGAGTTTGAGGTCCCTGTTTGACAATGTACCAAGGATGGGGATGTTGCTCAGTACATTGCTTGCCTAGCATGCACAAAGCCCTGTGTTCTATCCCCAGCACCAGATAAACCAGGAGTGCTGATGCAGGCATGCATTTCCAGAACTGGGCAGGAGTGGAGAGTAGAGTCTGGAGGATCAGAAATACAGGGTCATCCCAGCTACATATGGAATACATAACACACACACAAGAGAGAAAATGTGGTGCCTTGCTTCTGTTCCAGTCCAGAGCCAGAAAGGCCATGTCTCTTGGGTACAGAATTCTGTCCGGTTCTTTGTTCAGCCATCACTGGGAGGATATTCTTACCTCTCTGTCTAGCTCAGGCATCTTCTACTGCAGTTGGAGCACCCATAGAGCACCACAGTCTTTCACCAGTGCTCCTTACTGGCTCCTACTGCTCTCTGGAAAATACTCCTGTTCTTAGGGTGGAGATATGTTTGTTATACTAGGTACAAGGAAGATCCGAGTTCAGATTCCTAGCACCCATTTTAAAACTGGGCATGGTGGCATGTGTCTGTAACCCAGCACTAGGGGGCAGAGACAGCTAGGTCCTGGGGCCTTAGTGGCCAGCCAGTCTAGCTGAAACAGTTAACAGTGAGTTCCATTGAAAGATTGTCTCAAAAGAAAGTGAAGTGACTGAGGAAGGCATCCTGTGTTAACCTGTCTGGACTCCACATGTGTGGGCTTGATTATGTGTAACCTCCCTACACACACACACAATACACATGAACACAGATTCTAGTTCTAGTAGCCCATGGGGCTTCTCAAACTTCCCCATTTTCTATGGCCGTACTCTTCATACCTGCTGCTTCTGGGAAACAATCTGGAGACGAAAAACCCACCCCACTTTGACCCACTCAGCACTCCCTTGTATCCTAACTCTAAATCAGAATTATCCTTTATCACCTCTTTGTCCTGGTATCTGTAGCCATGATACCACTCACCTGCTGAGCTGGGTTCCTCTAGGCCCTACATCCCTGTCACAGCCCTCCTGTCTTCTCTTCACCAAACTTAACAGTTTGTAGGATCTAGAGAATGAAGTGCAACAGCCATACTTTTGATTTTGAATGAGTGAGTTTATTAAGTCAAAGTAAAAGAATAAATAGCAAGTGATTAGTGGGAAGTGGAAGGGGTGTAAGAGACAGGGACCTGGGACCTCCTGACTAGCCAGGTTAGCCAAAAGAGTGAGCTTCAGGTTCTGTGAGAGACTTTGTCTCAAAAACTAACTTGGAGAATAGAGGAAGACACCAGTGGCAACCTTTAGCCTCTGCAAACACACACACATACACACAGAAGGGAAGGTCAGGCCTTCTCTGAGGGGCCTTCCAACTTGGAGGACAGAGAGGGCAGAACCTTGTGAGCCTATCTGAAATGGAGGGATTCAGAAGCACCTCTGGGAAGGAAGCAATTCTTGCCTAGAGTCAGACATGCCTTTGTTGAAGCTCCAATCAGTGAGTGAGTGAGTTGAGGCAACAGCTCTAGATGACCACAGGGATAGATAAGGGTTAGCAGAGCATACTTGGATGACGACTGGCTGGGGACCAGGCTGGGGCAGCAGGTGCATGACCCACTTAGTCACCCCACAGGAAGCCTCTGTTCTCATCCCAGGTGCTGACCTGGGGTGAGGGGATATCATTCCCTAGAGGGCCTTCTCACACTTTACGGAGACTAGGAGATTTGGAAAATGTCTGCTCAGTGATTCCCATCCTAGGAACTGAGTATTGGGGATCAGATACCAGGAAACTACAGAACTTCCACTGCATCCAATTCACTGCCCAAACCACCTGCCTATCCCTGATTTACACATGCCCAACCTTTGCTCTTCTGGAAAGCTTGCTGAACTGCCCTCACCCCACCACCTGCTCCTTCTGAACTCCCATAATCCCCAACCTCAAGCTGGGATCCTACAGAGTATTCTGCCCTCAACTCCTAGATAGCCTCCCCCGCCCCAAAAGAATCTTCTTAGTGCCTCAGCTTTCCAGCAAGAAGCACTGTAAAATGTCAGCGTGGGAGAAGAGCACATGCCTGCACAGCTGCTCAGAGATTGAGGTTGACTGAGTAACTCCTGGAGACTTACTTGTCTGCAGGGCAAGGTGATGGGCCACCACTAGGCAATTATCCACCAGCAGTTTTGTCACCTGAGAGATATTAAATTGCTTATCATTACCCTGGCTAAAAGAAGTGGAGAGTGGCCATGGTCCTGGATCCCAGCTCTCACATCTCAGCAACCTGGACCACACTGCTTCAGGCACACTGTGTTCATTTCTTTGGCCCTCAATCATTTCAGGCCTCTGACCCCATAGTTCAGTGAGAGCCACCTGGTCATGGTCATGCGGGCCACATGCAGAGTGTAAGACCCCTGGTGCTGGGAGCTTACAGACCGCCCTGCATGTGCCCCTGCTTAGTCTACCAGGCTCCACAGAGTAGTTAGCCTGGGGGATCCCCAGCTGTCATTTAGACCTTTAGCTTGAGTTCCTACAGTGTGCTTCTCGGCCAATATGTTTGTGTTATGTGCATGTATGTGTGTGCGTGTGTGTGTGTGTGTGTGTGTGTGTGTGTGTGTGTGTGTGTGTATAACACAGAGGACAGCTGTGAAGCTGGTTCTTCCCCTCCACCTTACATGGGTTCCAGGAATCGAACTTGGGTCATCCAGCTTATATAGCAAGTGTCTTTACCACCACACCTGCCAGCCATCTCACTGGCCCATTGTTTTCTGTTGTGAGACTGGGTCTTCAATCAATTACCAAACCTGAATTGAACTTGTGATCCACCTGCCTTACCCTTCACAGTAGCTGGGATTATAGGTGTGGCTTCTTTTATATCCCTACCTCTGACTCCACTCACCAAGATTCTGGAAACTCAAAAACACAGACTTGGTTATACCTGTCCACCTGGGACTCCTGTAAAAGCAGATCAACATCTGGGAACTATGACCCAATATGAAATACACAGGCATCATAATCTTGATGCTGTGTACTAAAATAAAGGAGGCAGGTTTTCCTGTCTGAGCTTTCTGTTTAAATAAGCTTATGAAACCTCACCTGGTTCATTCCCAAGAATTACACATGTTCTTGCTACTCCATCAGTCTCATACCACCCAATAGCCGACTTGTCACCTAAACCAAAACATGTATTTTTTTTTAAAGATTTATTTATTTATTATGTATACAGTATTCTGCCTGCATGTATTCCTGCAGGCCAGAAGAGGGCACCAGATCTCATTACCAATGGTTGTGAGCCACCATGTGGTTGCTGGGAATTGAACTCAGAACCTCTGGAAGAACAGTCAGTGCTCTTAACCTCTGAGCCATCTCTCCAACCCCAAAACATGTATTTTTTAAGACTGGGTTTCACTGTGTGTCTCATGTAAACCAGGATAGCATCAAATGATGGGACTTTCTGATCCTCCTGTCTTTACCTCCCAAGCAGTGGTTTTTGTTTGTTTTGTTTTTCGAGACAGGATCTCTCTATGTGGCTCTGGCTGCCCTGGAACTCACTCTGTAGACCAGGCTGGCCTCAAACTCATAGAGATCTACCTGCCTCTACATCTCAAGTGCTAGGATTAAAGGCATGTACCATCCAAGTGCTGTTTTATGTGGTTCTGGAACTCAAACCCAAGGTTTTGTGTGTGCTTTACAAGTACTCTACCAACAGAGCTAAAACCTCAGATTTATTTTATGCTATTTTGCTTCAACAGGGTCTCAACTTTTTCTGTTGTTTTTTGAGACAGAGTCTCACTATGTAGTCTTGACTGGCCTTGAACTTACAGAGATCTGTCTGCCTCCCCCCCTACACACACACAAGTGTTGGGATAAAGGTCATTATGCCCTGCTGACAAGGTCTCAACTTTGTAGTTGGCATGGATGGCCATGCACTTAAGATCCTCTTGCCCTCAGTCTCCAAAGTACTGGGATTACAGATGCATGCCACCACACCTGGCTAGAACATGCACTTTTGGAGGTAAGTTTTTTTAATTTTCTGAATCAAGGTCTCACTATGTAGCTTTGGCTGGCCTGGAAATTAGTAATTAGTAAAAATCACTGGGTAATTAGGCTAGCCTTGGATTTGTACTGAACCCCTACCTCTGCTGGGATTACAAGTATACACCACTACTCCAGGGGCTTAGAAGATGTGTTTTGTATATCAGGGTGACTCCAAGGATATCACATTTATACTCACCTATGCACTTGAGCCACCCTGCCAGGGTCCAAATAATTTTCCTGCTTAGACCACACCCCAGACTAGTGAAGTCAGAATCTCTGGGAGATCCTTCTGTTAACAGCTCTAGAGATTCTATTCTGTTTCTAAACTGATAATCATCTCTCTATCATCTGCTGAGTGATTTGTTCCTTGACTGAATCCCCTCCTTTACCTGTGTCTACCTTGGCCCCTCTTTGGGCTCTCAAGGGCTGTTTCCATTTTCTTGCAACCCAGTCTTATGGTTTCTCCTCTCTACTTCCTTTAACCACTGGGAACTTGAGGTGTCCTTAAAACCCCCTGCCTCACCAGGGGCAATAATATTCCCTCACTCAGTCAGTGACAAGTCTTTAACACTACCCACCCCCAAATCTGCTATCCCACTTGAGCCTTATGCTTTGGGTGCTCAGCCCTGGCCAGTGGGGCATTTGTTACCTTAACAGGGAAGTCCTGTTGAGAGTACACGTGTTGAAACAAGGAAGGTAGATGAAGCAACACAGGAGGACAAATATGTCCTCACCATTGCACCAGTCATATCCTAGCTCTAACTCTTTACAGAGACTTCTTAAGCCCCAGAGCAAACCATAACATCCCCACTCAGGTACTCTGTCCCTGTGGCTGTCCTGAGTTTGGGCTTGGCCTTGTTCTTTGGAGACAAAGCCTGTCAAGACTCCAAAGTGTTCAGAGTAAAGGGGACAGTAGGGAATCAAGAGGCTAGTGACAGCTAGTAACTGTGTGCATTAGAGATGTGCTTAGGTCTGTTTACCTGAGCTTGGGGACAATAGTAGGCAGGCAGGAACTCAAGGAGGGAACAGACAGGCTATCTCCGCCTCCTTCCTCCTCTGCCCTCCCCACCCCGACAGCCCCTACTTTGTGCGTCGGCCTGTGGAGCAGAAACCACAGATACTTCCTCAAAGCAGCAGCCTAAGCACAGAGCCCACTCACCCTGTGGTCCACCACCCCCAGAAGCTATGGTAAGTCCCCAAGCCCCCAGTGAAGTCCGTTCTGGCCAGGAAACAAGGGGCACAAGCGAAAACTGGGGAACTGGTAAATATTCCCCCATGGGTAGGCAGAATAGAGATGGGAACAAACAGTCTTGGGAATGAAATGGTGCAGGCAAAGATTGAGAACAGTCAAGGCATAGCTTGAGCTCTTATGGACCAGGCTTGGATCTGTGACTGCAAGGGGGGAAGGTTGGGTATGCTTGGAATGATATCCCCTCACCCCAGGTCAGCACCTGGGATGAGACCAGAGGCTTCCTATGGGGTGACTAAGTGGGTCATGCACCTGCTGCCCCAGCCTGGTCCCCAGCCAGTCGTCATCCAAGTATGCTCTGCTAACCCTTATCTATCCCTGTGGTCATCTAGAGCTGTTGCCTCGACTCCCTCGCTGACTGGGGCTTCAACAAAGGCATGTCTGACTCTAGGCAAGAATTGCTTCCTTCCAGAGGTGCTTCTGAATCCCTCCATCTCAGATAGGCTCACAAGGTTCTGCCCTCTCTGTCCTCCAATCTTCTGACCCTAAGTGAAGACAGGCTGGAAGGCCCCTCAGAGAAGGCCTTGCCTTGTGTATCTACCTGTACCTGTAACCTATGGCAAATGGCCAGCTTTGAGAGCATCAGGGATGTTCTGAACATGTCATATAGTACATGTCCTCATGTGGAGAGCCTGTCTGCTGGTCCTCACTGGGGAAGGGGTCATGCTGTAAGCCTCCCTGTGCATACATCTTAGACTGGATGTATGCCTGTCTTTATAGTCCTGCATATACTTTTATTTCTGTAAATATTTACTGAGGACCTACTATGTGCCAGGCACTGGGAGGTCATTGATGATCTAGAGGGCCTAAAGTAGATAGCTGTATTTGTGTACATGAATGTGAATGTTGGGTCTTCCTCGATGGCTTTCTACCTTCTTTTGTGAGACAGAGTCTCTAACTGCCCCCGGAGCTTGTTGACTTAGCTAGCCTGGCTGGCCAGAAAACCCTAGAGGGCCTTCTCTGTAGGCCTCCCCTGAGGTAGGATTACAAGTGCTGCTCCTGGCTTTTTTTATGTATGGGTACTGAGGATAGAACTCAAGTACACAGGCTTTCATGACAAGTTCTTTGCCTACTGAGCAGACTGTTTAGTCAAACTGGGTGTGGCAGCACACACCTGTAATCCCAGGACACGGTAGGTGGAGGCAGAAGGATCAGGAGTTCGTTATCCTCAGCTACATAGCAAGTTTGAAACAAGCCTGAGATATGTGAGACCCTACTTCAAAAATAAATTAAAAAATAAATAAACAAGACAAAAACCCTAGTCAATGGTATGGTGTGGCTGAATGCTACAGAGTTTGCTTAGCAAGGTACTGGGTTCCATCCCTAACACCACAAAAATACAAACCCCCAAAACAACCTTGTAAAGACATTACAGCAGAACTAATATAAGAAATTTGATAGGTGATGGAAGATATAAAGAGAACAGTTACGTAGGATGGTGAAAGCGGACAACTGGGGAGGGGAAACTGACTTAAAATAGTGCTATCTCCTTAAGGAATATTGTCACAAAGACATGGAGGAGGAAGAGGAGACTCGTGCATTGAGGGGTATGCATTACAGACATTACAGAGGCTATGAGATAGGGAGGGAAGTTGCTGAGTCATTCAGGACTGTTTGCTTTCCCTGGAGAGATGAAAACTCACTGAGAAATTGGGAACAGAGAGTCAGCAGGCCTCCTCTAGGGCAGTAGACCCGGGAAGAGCCCATTACAGTATTCTTGGCTGAGGGGGTCAGTTCCTCCAGCTGGGGTGACAGAAGTGGTTGGATTCCGGATGTATTTTGAAATCAGAACAAAAAGGACTGTGGAGAACCTAGTGGTTGGGCAGGGGGCAAAGAGGGAACCAATGAGGAGCAGAAGGTGCAAAGGTTGAAGAAAGTATCACTAACTGGAAATACCGTGTAGTGGCCATGGGCTAGTAGAGAGGCATCAGGAACTAGGTCTTGTTAGAGATGAGGTTAGACACAGCTTAGGTGGAGGAGTCAGGAGGGTGTGGCTTCCAGGAACCTGAGGCCAGGAATAGTTCTCACCCAAAAAGAGAAGCTGGCTGAGGTAGAGCTGAGGTTGAGGAGGAAGCAACAGTAGAATGGGAGCCTAAGGGAATGGAGAGGGTGATGGCTTTGTGTGTCTACGACCAACTGTATCTGTAGGTACCTAGCTGTTTCTCCATCTGCCTCGTATGAGACTTCCTGAATGATCTATGTCTTCCTAGGGAAGCAATCAGGACTTCCGAAATCTCCAAGCTAAGTTCCAGGCCTCTCAACAAGAGCCCGGGGAACCGTACAGAAAAACCCTAAAACCTGAGTTCAACCAAATCCTGAAGAAGTTTCCACAGACTGAATTAAGTGAGCAGCCCAAGAAGGCCTCACAATCTGAGCTCAGTACAGTGTCCTTAAAACCCCTGCAGCTACGGTTTGCAGACCTCCCCAAGAAGACTTCGCAGTCAGAGGTTCTCAGAAAGTTGTCGCAGCCTGAGTTCACTGATCTACTCAAGAAGCCCCTACAATCCGAGCTCAAAGATCTTCCAAGGAAGCCTCTACATCCAGAGTTCACTGGTCTCAAGAAGCCCTCAGAGGCTGAGTTCACAGATTCCAAGAAGCCCCCAAAGCCCCAGTTTGCCAGCCTCCCCAAGCCCGCACAGCCTGAGTTCACTAATCTCCCCAAGAAGCTTCCCAAACCCGAGTTTGGCGAGCTCACCAATAAGTCTCCACAGCTTGAGGTGCTCCAGGAGCCTAGTGTACCTGCCCAGAAGCCCCTGAAACCTGAGCTCAGCAATCCTGCCAGGCCCCCAGTAGAGCTCAAACCTATTACATTCCCCAAGAAGTTCTGGCAGCCTGAGTCCAGTGAGGCCCCTCTGAAGCCCTTGCCATCCGAGTCCAGTACTTTTCCCAAGAAGCCACTGCAGCCTCAGGCTGCTGGTTTCTCTAGGAAGTCCCTGACACAGCCAGAGTCCAGCCAAGTTCCTCAGACATCCCTCTCCAAGCCTGGGACCAGTGAATTTCACCCCCACTCCCCACAGTCTGACATCAGTACCTTTCCTAAGATGTCTCTGCAGTCTGAGTTTAATGAGAACTTCAAGAAGCCTCCACATCCTCAGGCCGTTGGTTGCCCAAAGTCTCCACAGCAGCCCATGTCCTATGAGGTCCCCCAGACACCCCCCTGGAAGCCTGAGTCATGCAATCTCCCATCTTACTGCCCGCAGTCAGACTTCCATGCATTTTCCAAAAAGCATCCACAGCTCCAGCTAAGTGACCTTACTAGGACATCCTCAGAGCCCGAAGTCCGAAAAGTTCCTAAGAAGCCTCAGCACCCAGACCTCAAAGTGCTTCCTAAGAAGCCCTCACAGCTGGAACTGGGTCATCTCCCTAGAACATCCTCAGAGCCTGAGTTCAGCTCACTCCCCAGGAAGTTTCTGAAGCCTCAACACGGCAAGTTCTTCCAGCCTGACTTTCCCAAGGGTCTGCCCAGAAAGCCCAAACTTCCTGGTTCAGTATCAGAGTGCTCTCTGCCCTCTGCCTTTGCGGGCTCCAGCCCCCAGTTCCCCCTCAGCCCTGGGTATGGAGACCCTGGGACACCCCGCTGGAGATCAGAAGACTTGCAAGTCCGGCAACTGCCCCGGCGGCGGCCTCTGCCCTCAGCCAGCAGCCTGGGATCCCCTCCAGCCAAGCCCCCGTTACCGCCTGTTCCCATCAATATCCAAAGCTTCCGGAGAGGCTCAGCAACAGCCATAGGTGAGTTAGGGTAGGTGGATCAGGCAGAGGAAGGGACAAAATATCTGGACAGAGCCACTTCCCTCCCATGCTCTCTCCTCCACAGCTGTACTGAAGACCGGCTCTTCTGTGACCCACTTCCCAGCCCAAAAACCTCAACATATCTCGCAGTGAGTGTGGGGAGAAAGAGGTCAGGCACGGGGTGTAAGGTTAAAGGAGGCCCTCATCTCAGCTATCTCTGCAGGAACCCGGACGAGATCTATGAACTGTATGATGCTGTGGAGGCCACAGGTGACTCTAGTCTCAGCCCCAGAGGCAGAGGTTTGTAGATGGTCTAGGTGGTTGGCTTGGGCATCCATAAAACATTAGTTGCAAAGGCATTCTCTCAGGATCCAGGTTTAAGTAATCCACAAAGTGATCCAGACCAGACTGGATGCTGGTGAGCCAGAATGGTGAGGAAAAGGAAGCCCAGAGGCACCCAAACCCCACCCACCAGGTTCCTTGCAGCCCATCCCAAGAGGTTGTCCCAACAAGATGTATGCCTGGAATCAGTAGAGAGGTGTGGCCTAGAAGCAGTGCAGCAAAAGGTTCTTTGCCTTTTTTCTAAGTCAATTTCTTTTCTTTTTTTTTTTTTTTTTGAGACAGGGTTTCTCTGTGTAGCTTTGCGCCTTTCCTGGAACTCACTTGGTAGCCCAGGCTGGCCTCGAACTCACAGAGATCCGCCGGCCTCTGCCTCCCGAGTGCTGGGATTAAAGGCGTGCGCCACCACCACCCGGCTCTAAGTCAATTTCTTGAAGGGTTCCAGGATTGGTGTCTCTATGGTAACAACATGGGCTTCTATGAAAGAGCTTTGATGATTCTGCAGCCACAGCCAAGGCAGTTGTTACCCCATTACCAATAAGGAAGTTCAAGGATCTGAGACTAGGCCCAGCCAGTTGATCTAGAGCTGTGGGGGATTCCAGCTGAGCCCCACCTCCCCTAGCTATTCCCTGTCTTACTGGGGCTCCTAGGAGGGACTTTTAGCCTTGGGATATGCTAGCTCTCACTGTTCCAGCTTGAGGTCCTGGTATAAAGCCAGATACCTTCAAATTCTCCAGCCCTTGCTCCTTTCTGAGCCTTTTGTTTGCTTCTCCTGATCCATCTAGAGAGAGCCCCTAGTGCTTCTGTTGAGGGGATGTTCTACGGTTTGGGGGGGTAAGGGGTGTCAGCTTTGCAGAGGTTGGTCAGAGCCCTAGCCAGTTTCCAGGGTTAGAACCTTTAAACCTAAAAGTCCATCCCCTATCCCACACACACTGCTTCAGTAACCTCCTCCCAATCTTTACCCACCATTTTTCAAGATCATGATCAAAGTATCAGACCTCGCTCGAATTTCTCCTTTCAGTGCAATGTGTGAGCCATCCTGTGGGCACAGAGTCTCTCAAAGGCTGCTTTGAGCATTTCAGAGGTATCTTTCTAGTACCAAAGTGGCCTGGGACCACCAGCATCTCCCTCCTCTTGGGTTCCTTTGAAACATGGCAGCCGCCCCTCCCCCCATCCCCCTGTCTTTTGTCAGCTGGGAACTCCCCTGGAGACACAGGGTCCAGCCTTTCCAGGATTATATGTAGACCAACAGGAAAGGAAGATCATCAGTGGCCTGCTTCAGAACAAGCTGCAGGATGATCCAGAACCACAGGGCCCAGTATTTCCACAGTCAAGTTTGTTTCTAGCTGTGAAACCACTCAAGGCTGAGGCAGATGAGAAAAGCAGGTGCAGTGCAGGTTCTGGTTAGGACCCAGATCTCTGCCTAGAGAGTACAAATCAATCTCAGCACTGACTGGGTATGACACAGGTGCCCCTCTGTGGTCTGCTCATCAGAAAAGATAGTTGGTCCAAAGTAACATTTGGGTCATTAACAAAATGGGGCCTCTGATTCAGGCCCTAACCCTGATCTTTAAGTGGCTGTCACCCAAGCCCTCAGCCAACAGTTGGACTCACTCTGGAAGCCTAGCCTACTGCTGGGAAGTGGTGTAAGTCAACTCCTCTGGGAAACCCTACCATTCAGTCTCTGCAGAAGGTTCAGGCTAAGAACCCTACCCTGGCCAAGTGGTGGTGGTGGTGGCGGCGGCGGCGGCACTCATTTTTAATCCCAGAACCCAGGAGGCAGAGGCAGGTGGATCTGAGTTCGAGGTCTACAGAGTGAGTTCCAGGACAGTCAGGGCTACATAGAGAAACTCTTGTCTTCAAAAAAACCAACCAACCAACCAAAAAAAAGAACCCCACCTTGGTTGCTCCTCCTGAGAGGCAAACTGTGGATGCTATAAGGGAAAGCTTGTTTTTAGCTCTCAATCCAAAATCTTACTATAACTCCCAACATATTCTGGGAGGCAGAAGCAAAATGGCTCCCAAATTCTACAATTTGTGAGCTGGTCATGGTGGCCAGCACTTGGGGAGATAGAGGCAGATAGATATGAGTTCCAGGCTAGCCTGGTCTATACAGTGAGACCAAAAACCAAAACCAAAGGCCTACAAATCCATCCCATCTCTACAATTTTACTAGCTGGGTAGCCTTAGACAGTTGACCAACTTCTCAGCCTTTCCTCACCAAAGTAAACCTTACCCACAAGAACCGATGAATCCTCAGAGAAAGGTGCAGAAGAAAAGTGGTCAAGATACAGGGAAGCCCTGAGGACTGACAGAGCAGGGTCACCCATCAAGTCACTAGGGTAGAGACAAAGCTGGGGGCCTTTGTCCTGACTCTATCCAATGCCCTCAGATGAAGTGCAGTCTACTCAGCAAACCACCAGATGGCCTCAGCAGGACACAGAGTTCAGGTACATAGGGCAAACAGGGTGTTACAGGGCTGGGCTAAGCTCTGGGACTCTTGATAGGGCATACTTCTTATAAATAAATACCCCAATGTCTGGGTCTTCCAGGAAGAATGCCACTCAGCCACACCAGCTGCCACCCACAGACCCCAAGTTGCTGAAACAGATCAGGAAGGCAGAGAAAGCTGAAAGAGAGTTTAGAAAGAAGTTCAAGGTGAGAACATAGAGCAAAGAATGAATCCTGGGAGGATTGGTACCCAGGGCCCAGGACTTCCATCCTGAGGAAGGAACCAAAACTACAGCAGAAGTAGAGTCTTAACATGATGTTCCCCAAGTTTGAAGGTGAGATCGTGATTCACACAAAGATGATGATTGATCCCAATGCCAAGACCCGGCGTGGGGGTGGCAAGCACCTGGGCATCCGGCGTGGAGAAATCCTGGAGGTGATCGAGTTTACTAACAAGGATGAGATGCTGTGCCGGGACCCCAAGGGCAAGTGTAAGTGTGCTTGGCCCACATGTAGGGAAATGAGGGAGGGGTTCTAGGGTTGAGAATCTACTCTACTCTCCCCCCTGCAGATGGCTATGTACCCAGGACTGCACTGTTGCCCTTGTAAGTGTTGGTCCTGCCTGGGTGGAATGGGGAACACCAGGGTTGTCCCCCTACTGACTATACTGTGCTCTCTGCCAGGGAAACAGAAGTATATGATGACGTCAGCTTCTGGGGTATGTAGTGACTCCTACGGGTATGCTTGTTATCATGCTTCTGTGGCATAGATCACTTGAACTCATCCTTCTTTGCAGACCCTCTGGACACCCAACCGTTTCCTCAGGGACAGTAAGGAAGACAGACAAGTGGGTTCCAGGACCACCAACCCAGTCACTGCTTACTCAGGAGCCCTGGATCCCAGCCTGGCAAACAAGTCCAAGTGTACATGCCCACATAAAACCTGTCTTTAAAACATCCTTGCTTCTTGTCTTTTCCTCTCCTTCCTGACTGGTACACACAACAGAACACAAGCACATGCCAGGCATCAAAGTGAAGAGAAAGAAAAATCAGTTGTCTGTCCTATAGGAAAGGAGCTGCTAAGGATTCACTCCCACACACCCTAGATGACCAGTAGCTGTATTCCAAAACTTGTTGTAGGCTGGAAGCATGTGTTACCAAGTGAGTCTATGACCACCTTTCACTAGTGGGACTCCTGCCTAACAGGACATCATATGAAGTGTGTCCCAAACAGTGACATTCTTAGTGGGCTTGAACAAAGAAAAGCCAAAATTAAGTGAGCTTCACTCAGTGCCTGAGAATAAGGCCACAGAATGACTTTCAGGATTGCTATTATCACTCCTGGGAAGATGAAGACCTTCTAGGATCTGTACTATAGTGTTTCTACTATAACCGGGGTCTGCTTTCCAAAGATTGGGGCCCACAGACAAGCAACAATGGAGTCAGATCCCTGGAGGTCACAGCTCCGAGGAAGAAGTGCAAGCTGCCCCAGCTCTGCAGACCTCAGATGGCCACCTCTATAACATAAAACATATATACACACAAAAAAAGCAAGCCACTTTCTGGAACTGGTATTTATTATCAAAGTCATATTTGATGTCAACAAGATGCCACAACTACAAAAAAAATTGCGCACATTGCAATCTCAATGCAAACAGTCAAATGGAACCCCAATCATTAAAATATTAATTCAGATTACCCCAAAAAGCAACTGAATTTTTTAAACATCTTTATACATCCAGCCAACAAATTAAAATGGTTAACAAGGAAAAATACAAATTCAGAGGTCTGGTATTGATGTTTAAAAAAGGCAACTGCTTAAGCATTTCTATCGATTCGAACATCAATCTCTCGGCCACTCAGCTTCATGCCATTCATCATCCGGCAGGCTCTCTCAGCCACCTCTGGAGACTCAAACTTAACCACACCGCACCCCTTGGATTTTCCGTTCTCCATCTTGATGTCGGCGTACAGCACATGGCCTGGCACAGGGAGGGAAGAAGAGACCACACGCATCAGGCAAACCCAGAGCTCAGCCTCAGTCTGGGCTCCACTCAGTCCAGATCACCTGTTGGATTTCGGTGACAGAGTCAAAAAGGAGAGAGGCCCTTGCACATGAAGTGAATGCTCAGAACACCACGAATGGCGCCAGCAACTACAGCCCCCTCCACTATATTGCCATTGTTCTCCAAGCAGGACAACAGCCTAACCTGCTGTGAAGAACCTGCCAACCAGCTTCAAATGTTTGCCTTTATGCTCCAGCAAGTTATACCAAGAGGGGACTATGTGGAGCCAACTTTAGATTTGTATTCTAGAGGCTTGATTGTTGAATACCACCATCTAGTCACAAGGGCCACTGCCAATATGATACTCTATTCTGCCCCAATGTAAGCCAGGTATACTTAGTGAGTAGCTTACACATATCCATTCATAGACCTATAAGCACCCAGGTTATTAATATTAAGTACCCAGGTATGTGTCAAGTACAATAAATGGGTCTATAATAGAGTGAGAGCCAAAGACACGTTAGTACTGTTAGGCCCTTAATTCTTGTGCTACTAATGGCTTGGGGAGAGATGACACTCCAGTGGCTTCTCATGATAAAGTTCTGAGAGATATTAAGTAGCAATTCATCAGAATAAACATTCCTGCCAGAGCAGGACACAATGGTACACATCTGCAACCCAGAACTTGGGAGGCTAAAGCAAGATTTTGAGTTCTAGGCCAGACTGGAGCTACATGGCAAGACCCAGCCTCAAAAGAATGACAAGACAGAACTAAAGGAGGGAAGACAAAAAGGAGAATGGAAAGGTGGCTCACCTGTAATCCCAGCCCTTGGGAGGTAGAGGTAAAAGAATCAAGAGTGCAAAGTCACTGAGGATGAGGCTCAGTGGATACACTGCTTGCCTAGCATGCACAAAACCCTGGGTTTGAGCCCCAGCACTTACACAAGCCAGGCATGGGGGCACACCCCTGTAATCCTAGCGTTCAGGAGTTAGAAGCAGGACTAAAAGTTCAAGGTTATTTTTGGCTACAAAATAGTGAGTTTATAAGGTCCAGTCTGATTTCTAGGACCCCAATCTCAAAAAAATTAAAATAAATAAATCTAAGAGTTCAAGATCATCTTCGGCTACACAATGATTTTGCAGCTAACTTGGGCTAGTTGGATCCTGTCTCAAAAAGAAAAAGAGAAAAGGGGAAGGAAAAAAGAGAAGGGAAAAGGGAAGGCCATCTTCTGACAAGAAAGCAGAGAATGTCACAGGTCAAGGGCAATAGGGAGATGGAAGCAAGTTTTCAGAAGCTTTTGAATTTGCATATTCTCAGAGGTGGGATAAATGGCACATTCCAACAATAATGACTGATGTGAAATTTGCAGTGGAGAGAATCAAAGAGCCAGGCAAGGAGGTGGGCTTTGACTCTACAGCTTACCCCCCAAAAAACAGGGGAAAGCATCAAAAACACTGAAATGTAAGCCATTTCTGAATGAGGAAACAAAAAACAGGTGTTTTGATCAAGCAGCACCTAGACCTTGGTTTAGCTGAGAAGGTGCAATGGTAGTAGATGACTGCATCTCGGTCATCAAGGAAGCTTTCCAGAAAGTTTGCCTAGTGTGCCTATGAATCCACAATCAGAGACTTTCATCCCATACTGTGTGCCCAGACCTGTAACTGCAGAGCGCGAGTGCTCTGGGGAACCAAACCGGCTATAGGCTTCATGGAAGGCAACTTGTCTTGGAATTACTTGTTTTTGCCTCTTACAAATCTGTGACTTTAGGAAAGTGGCTTTGCTCTTACGTAAAAATGACAATACTGCCGGGCGGTGGTGGCGCACGCCTTTAATCCCAGCACTCGGGAGGCAGAGCCAGGCGGATCTCTGTGAGTTCGAGGCCAGCCTGGGCTACCAAGTGAGTCCCAGGAAAGGCGCAAAGCTACACAGAGAAACCCTGTCTCGAAAAACCAAAAAAAAAAAAAAAAAAAAAAAAAAAAAAATGACAATACTGCCTCCTCTCAGAAACTAAGAAAACAGAAGTGGTAGCATTTGCATGTAGTTCCAGAATATGGAAGGCAGAGGCAAAAGAATCGTGAACAAGTCCAGCTTAGGTTATAACAGAGACAGACTGTCTCATAAAGGATGAAATGAGCACATAGCATGACACATACCAGGACACCCAACACCTGCCTGAGTACCTGCAGAGGCAGAACAATGGCAAGGCCCATTGGTGCTCTAGAGCCCATGGTCAGTGGTTAAGGCTAGGAAGGAAGCTTCACTGCTCCAACTCAACAGCATCACCAACGAGCCACAACACAGGAATGCACATAGAGAGCCTTTCTCAAACAGACACTTACCACATTCGTTGAATTTGTCCTTTAGCATCTTCCATGTAAAATCAAATGGGAGCTGAGGAAAAAAGAGGCAGACTAATCTGTGATGCAGCCAAATCTCAATGTACAGACATCACAATAGATACGAGAATATGACTTGATTTCCTTGGGCTGGGTGTGTAGCTTAGGTGTAGGGTGATTTGCCTAGTAAGTGTATAGACCTAGATTTAACCTCCAGTAGTCCCCCCAACTCCAAAAAAACCTCCACTTCTCATGACAGAGAGGCAGGCTGACATCTTTATGACAATTAGCAGGAAACAAAACAAGTCTTTAGCTTATGGGGATGACCTAAGAGCTGAGTAGGCAACCCATTCAGTCATTCAATGACGAAATGTAATTCTATCAATCACAACCACCTTTCTCTAAATCACTGTGCCAAGACTAAGTGTTCCTCAAGCCAAGGGAATCAGAAACCACAGACCTTTATTTAGAGCTCAGTTTACTCTACTGCCTCGCACATCACAGGCAAATGCCTGACTACTGTATTTTTGTTTCTTTGTATTTGAGACAGGATTTCACTTGTTAGCTCTTGTTAGCCTGGATCTCACAGAGAACCAACTAACCTTTACCTCTAGAGTGTGGTGGGGATTAAAGAAATGGGCCACCATGCCTGGCCCTGGGACTATTTCTTCCTGAAAACCCTCAACCTCCAGTCCAGTTTTGGGGATGGGCAAGTTGTACTCCCCATGCTACCCAGCTCTCTAACAGACTTCCCTCTGGTCTACATCGCTCAGTCCACTGATTTCCCCACCACCTCATTCACAACAACAACTAGGAGCTCCTGAAGAACCACTTACATTTCTCACAAATATCTGGCAGGCCTTCCTGGCTACTCCAGGTGCATGGCCTCCAGCTCCACCAAAGGAACCTGCGAAGCTTCCTCCAAAGTTGCCCCGTTCCATCTCAATGGCTCGGTCAAAGCTAGCACCTCCAGCGCCACCCATGGCCAGGCCCATTCGCTCAATGCCAGCGCCCAATGCCGGGCCCATGGCAGGGCCCATACGCTCCAGACTGTTGGCTCCCATTCGCTCCAGGCCCATGCGCTCCAGACTGTTGGCTCCCATGCGCTCCAGGCCCATGCGCTCCAGGTTGTTGGCGCCCATTCGCTCCAGGCCGGTGGCCATACGATCCATTACAGGGCCCATGCGCTCCAGGCCGGCCCCCATGCCTGCGGGCACCATGCGATCCATGCTCAGGCCCATACGCTCAATGGCAGGGCCCATGCGCTCTACACCAGAGCCCATGCGCTCAATGGTTTGGCCCACTCGGTCAATGGGCGCGGCCATGCGCTCTAGGCCAAAGCCCATGCCGGCACCCATGCGCTCCACGCCAGAGCCAATTCGCTCCATGGTCTGGCCCATGCGCTCAATACTGGAGGCCATGTGGTCAAGACCTAGTGGGCCCATGCGCTCAATGCCGGAGCCCATGCGCTCAACTGAGCCCATGCGGTCCATGACCAGGCCCATACGCTCAATCTCAGAGCCCACTCGATCCATGCCATGGCCTAGGCCTGCGCCCATGCGCTCCATGCCAGCACCGCCAATGCGGTCAATGCCAGGGCCCATCCTCTCGATC